TATGATTTCCATGCTTTTGTATCTGCTGAGGAGTGATTTACTTCCAATTATGTGATCAATTTTAGAGTAGGTGTTATGTGGTGCTGGGAAGAATGTATATTCTACAGATTTGGGGTGGAGAGTTCTGTAAGTGTCTAATAGGTTTGCTTGGTCCAGATCTGGGTTCAAGTACTGGACATCCTTGTTAATTTTCTGTCTCGTTGATCTGTCTAATTTTGACAGTGGAGTGTTAAAGTCTCCCATTATTATTGTGTGGGAGTCTAAGTCTCTTTGTAGGTCATTAAGAACTTGCTTTATGTATCTGGGTGCTCCTGTATTGTGTGCATATATATTTAGGATCGTTAGCTCTTCTTGTTGCATTGATCCTTTTACCATTATGTAATGCCCTTCTTTGTCTCTTTTGATCTTTGTTCGTTTAAAGTCTATTTTATCAGAGACTAAGACTGCAACTCCTTTTTTTTTTTTTTGCTCTCCATTTGCTTGGTGCTTGATAAATCTTCTTCCATCCCTTTATTTTGAAGCTATGTGTATCCTTGCACATGAGATGGGTTTCCTGGATACAACACACTGATGGGCTTTGACTTTTTATCCAATCTGCCAGTCTGTGTCTTTTGATTGGGACATTCAGCCCATTTACACTTAAGGTTAATATTGTTATGTGTGAATTTGATCCTGCCATTTTGATGCTAGCCTATTTGTTGACACAGTTTCTTCATTGTGTCGATGCTCTTTACCTTCATTTTTGGAGTAGCTGGTACTGGTTGTTCCTTCTATGTTTAGTACTTCTTTCAGGAGCTCTTACAAGGCAGGCCTGGTGGTGATGAAATCTCTGAGCAATTGCTTGTTCCTAAAGGATTTTATTTCTCCTTCGCTTATGAAGGTTAGTTTGGCTGGATATGAAATTCTAGGTTGAAAGTTCTTTAAGGATGTTGGATATTGGCCCCCACTCTCCTCTGGCTTGTAGAGTTTCTTCAGAGAGATCTGCTGTGAGTCTGATGGGCTTCCCTTTGTGGGTAACCCGACCTTTCTCTCTGGCTGTCCTTAGCATTTTTTCCTTCATTTCAACCCTGGTGAATCTGACGATTATTTTTTCATTTATTATTGTGCCATAAAAATGTTTTTATATCACAGCACGGTCTTTAAAAACATTGCCAAAGTCACGCTGAGAGAAGATATTAAAGAATGTGAGAATATGAGCAGGACATACAAGGAAAAGCTTTGAAAAGGTTATATAGAATACGACTCATCTCCCTCTGCTTAAAAATTCAGACACATGGTTGGGTGTGGTGGCTCATGCCTGTAACCCCAGCACTTTGGTATTTCTCCTGTGTTTCAGATCACCTGAGGTCAGGAGTTCAAGACCAGCCTGGCTAACATGGTGAAACGCTGTTTCTCCTAAAAATACAAAAAAAAAAAAAATAGCTGGTCTTGGTGGTACGCACCTATATTCCCAGCTACTTGGGAGGCTGAGGCATGAGAATCGCTTGAACCTAGGAGGCAGAGGTTGCAGTTAGCTGAGATCACACCATTGCACTCCAGCTTGGGCAACAAGAACAAAACTCCATCTCAAAAAAAAAAAAAAAAATTCAGACACATGCATTAGGAAAACAATGGGGAAAGTATATACCAAATGCTAACAGTGATAATCTCATCTAGTTAACAAAATTACAGATGACTTTTACTTACATTCGATTTTTCTTAATTTTTCAAATATTGTACAACTTTCATAATCAAAGTTTTTAAAGAAACAATTAATGGATTCAACATCTAAACCAAAAAGTAGTGACTTGAGTAAACACTTCACATTCTGTTAGGAATGATTTGATTAAAGTTATGTCAAAGCTGAAAAGCCAGAGAATTGAGAAACTTAAAATTACAGCATGTTTGAGAGCTCTGTTTACTCATTGAAAAACATTTATTTGCCACCTATGAAATGGCAGGCATGGGGCTACATTCTAGATATTTGCACATAATAATCAGTAAAATGTTATAAACACTGTAATAAAGACCCTATACAGTGCAGAACGAGCACAGAAGAGGAAGACGTCTCTCTTCCCTTAAAGCCTCAGGAAAGACATGTTAGTGGGGAAATGATATTTCTGCCAACTTGAAAGATAAGCACACAGAAAAGGGAATGCGCAGATGGTCATCTGAGCAAAATATATATATATGTGTATGTGTGTGTGTGTGTATATATATATGTATATATATATACACACACATATATATATATACATATATATATATACACACACACACACACACACACACATATATACATATATTAGGTTTTTTTTTTTTTTTTGAGACAGAGTCTTGCTCTGTCACCCAGGCTGGAGTGCAGTGGCGAAATCTAGGCTCACTGCAACCTCCATCCCCCAGGTTCAAGTGACTCTCCTGCCTCAGCATCCCAAGTAGCTAGGATTAGACACCCGCCACCATGCCCAGCTAATTTTTATATTTTTAGTAGAGACTGGGTTTCACCATGTTGGCCAGGCTGGTCCCAAACTCCTGACCTCAAGTGCTCCTCCCGCCCCAGCCTCCCGAAGTGTTGGGATTACAGGCATGAGCCACTGTGCCCAGCCGCAGTATGTGTGTTACTTTTTACTATTCCTGAAAAGCATGCAGTTTAGAGAACTGCAGTCACCTGTGAGGATATCACCATGAAACAAAAGTCAGGAGAAACACAGGAGCCAATCATGTAGGCCTTTGTAGGCTGGGCCAGTGAATCTGGACTTCATTCTGTGTTTGAGAATTTGAAAGCTTTAAGGGAGAGGCACAAAACCAACGCAAGCACATGATGTGGGAGGACAGACCTGCGGTAAACTGGATCATATGAATACTGCCTAAAGACCATCAAATGTGGGCTGACCAAACCATGCCAATGAGCCAGATTCCACAGATAAGACCCAGCGAGGACTTTTGAGCAGGCCCTGGGGATAACATGGAGAAGAGCTGAAGTGAGCTGGTAATGACGGGACAAGAGACAGATCCCAGGCGGGATGTAGACATCCAAAGAGTGAAGGAGGATGGATGCCTCATGCCTATTAGATCCCTGTGACGACTGTGGGAAAATCTCAAGCTCATTCTTGGCACCGGACATACAGTGTTCTGAAGACAGAGCTGCTTCCCTCCTGCTTTCTGCCATGTCTTCCTCGGGATGAAACACATTCCTCACTACCATTTCTGTACATGATCTAGAAAAATCTTGTTTTCTCACAGAAAGGACATGGGAGGCTGTTCCTTCCTGTTTCCCAGCTTGCTTTCACTCACGGGGGCCTAACGTGTCCTTTGCCCCCAAGGCCTTCAAGTTTCTACCCAGGAATTTTCATCATCTCTGACTGGATTTTCCATATTTCTTCTCAAAGTATCATTTCTTTCCATACAACTAAGCAAGGAAATGGAGCAGAGTTTGATGAATCTCAAGACACGCACTTTCTCAACACGCATGCTTCAGAACACACCATGCCTCCAGACAGATTAACAACTGATAGCACAACACGCAATCAACTCTGGCCCCTTGCCTGGCAGAAGGCCATCTTAGCACTGCCCTGTCTCCCTCACCCCTAGGAGCAGGGACAAATGTCCTAAGCGCCTGCCAGCACCTGACACTCTCTCTTTTATTCCTGAGAACAATGAACAACAAACATTTTGGTTGCACACTCTATGAGTAAAAACAGATAAATAATTTTAAAAGCTTATTCTCTAACCCCAATAAAAGTATATTCTTAAGGTACTAGTGTTAACCTGTATAAATATTACTAAAGCTTTTTTATTTCATAGAAAACAGATAAGTACTAATATTTCCACCTCATGTCCACAGAGCGTCTTGCATCTAACCATACCTGCTGTGTAATTCCCAATGTTCAGATTGCTTTCTCCTTCCCTTGTTTCTTTGTATCATGTTCTTCCACTCACCAACATCTCGACACTGATTTGGATACCTCTCCCCCTTCAGAGTCCTTTATTTCCTGGTTGTTTCTTCATAGCAACTTCTTCCATTCTGCCTAAGAATTCTTGAGTATCTTCAATAAACTGGAGCATAAACTGACTGTCCTTAAACCCTTTCAGCTACTCAAGCAAGAAGACCAATTTCAAAATTCTCAAAATTGGTGATGATTTTAAGGAAGGGAGAAAAACAGCCCCACCCAACCCTGTCAACAGTACCTAACAGTCCTTAGGACCAGGCAGGGTTCTCCCGTGAAATTTCAGATCTCTGTGAAGCTTGTCAATACCTTCACACCAGAGGGTAAACAAATGACCTGCCTATCCCCCATGGGACTTCAAGTTCTAGCTTTTGGGCTCTAATTTCTGGTGGCTCCTACCACCTACTACTTAAGCAAGCATGTGTACTTCCTTAAGCAGCTAAGCCTTTTCCCCCAGGGTATTATTCGTAAATTAAATGGCATCATTTAAAAAAGAACCTCTAACCCAATCAGTCTGGAAGAGCCTCATAGTACTCTAAAAGTAAAAAAGCTTCAGAAAACCACTGGCAGGAAGTGAAGTGGGTCTGGGGGAGATAAAAACAAGAGAAAAGGGCATTTTTTCTACGATGAAACAAAAAGGCTTTTTAAGCAATATACACTTGAGAGAATGTGAGAGCACTTTTCAAAATAACTAAGGTTATACCTTAGATTTCCTTCATGTATCACTGGCAGTATTAAATCAAATCTCTGATTACCTAAGGAGCGTTTAAAAGCAATCCACCCTACTCAATGAAAAGACAAAATGTAAATTCCTCTAACTTTTATTAACAGTTCTAACTTCTATGAAGATAAAAATATACGCAGTGCACTAGTTTTAGTCACTGGTGACATTTTTAATTGCGCTTGCAAAGGAAGGGGAAAGAACTCTTCTCAATACGCTCATCACACCTTTTCTCCTACTTGTTAAAATTCTACCAAGCAATGCAAAAGATACAGCACTCCACTTTTCTTCCTTCACAGAATCCCATCATGTTCATCTTGAAAGGTGTTTTTTTAAATCTTCTTAATACTCACTTGGCAAAAGCATTTCTTCTGTTAATCTCCTTTTGGGAAGAAGCGGAAGTTGTGCTAAAACTTCTCCTAAAACCTAAATATGAAAGTTAGGGTTAGAAGAGGAAAAATAGATGATAAGCTTTCAGCTCTTATTTACAATGATCTTTTATCATTTCTTCTATAGATGTTCTATTATATTAAATGTTTCTTTCAAAATAGAAAGCAGGGCAACACAGTGGCTCACACCCTTAATCCCAGCACTTTGGGAGGCAGAGTGGGAAGACTGCTTGAACTCAGGAGTTCAAGACCAGCCTGGGCAATATAGTGAGACCCTATCTCATTAATAAAAAGAAGAAAAAGAAGAAGAAAAAGCAGAGAAGGTAAGTATACAGAATATAATCGTAGCTTAGATTTCTTGACAAATTTTCATCTTTACCTTCATGATCAAACTATACACATATATGAATAAGTGAAGAGCATGACATTACTTTTGGAGATTTTTATTATAAGATTTCTCAGAAATCAAATAACATTGAATTATTTATTTATAAAGCTGATTATTTTTACTATCAAATATAATCTTGGTATTCATATAAAAAAGAAAAAGATAAAATGGTTTAAAGACATAATCATTTATAAAACACTGAACGGTTAACTTCAGAACTTTTGATTGTTGGCCTCTCCAAATAATACAACAAAAACAAAAACACTTCACAAGAGGTAAATTTTTAAAAAGATGTTTTTAAAAAGAAACAAGATTTCTAGCCCAGCCAGTTATGGCAGACCAGATATGCTGAATGAATCTCTTGATTGATGCAATTTTAGTTAAAACTGTAGTTTTTAAAAAATACTATTGAGATGACACAAAAGGCACAATTTCAAAGAGGCTAAAAACAAAAAAGTGAAACCATCAGAAGCCCCCAAACACCAAAGTAATTGACCATCTTAAACCAGCAGGCTTTCCACTGAATTCCAGAGAACCTGGGCTTCCACCTTACTGGCTGCACAGGAGACAGGGAGGCAAATAAAGTCTAAGGCCTCCACATGGGGATCCTCACAAAAGATTCTTGGTTAAAGTGAGGATCCCAAACAGCTCACTCAGTGCAAGGCAAAAGGAGAAATGAAACATCGTTCAGATGAAGACAAAGGAAAGTCACTTATGTCAACCTTAATGCTCAGTAGGAGGCAAAATTTTCTCCCCTCAGAATCTGTGACCATGAATGAAATTCATGTTGTCTTGTAATACAAAAATGTTGCAGAGACTATAAATTAAAGTGTTCCAGGTTGGCAGTGCCTCTAGGCAACTTGGCACAGGTAGCTACGATCTTCTCTGGAGGCATCAACCCAGTCCTCAAAGAATTTTTATATATACAATTCTGAGTAAAAGAAGCATCTCACAAGAATGAATTACAAAACTCAAAAGGAAAGAAGAAAAACCATAAGTTAGTCTCAACACAAACAGATGGCAGAATGAGACTCACAAAGGTTTTAGATACTTAATTATTTAACACAAAATAAAAGATAATATTTTAAATGTTTAGACAAAAAAGAAAAATTTGAAAAAACGGGGAAAGAATAGCAATGATAAGTAGCAAGATTTGAAAAAAAAATTTTTTTTATGGTTTTAAAGCTTTATGGCTGAATTAAGCAGCAGAATAAACAGCTCAAGAGATAATCAGGAAACAGAAGGATGGATCTGGAGATATCCAGAATACAGTCTAGAGTGACAAGTTGTGAGAAATATGAGAAAGCATGGGAAGGAAAATGAGAAGGTCCAACATACTACTAAAGAGTGTTTCAGAAGGAGATAAGCATGAGAAAAAAGGAGAAACTATTTTAATTATAACAGGTAAGAACTTTACATAACTGATCAATTCCCAGATACAGAAAAATCTGTAATGCCAAACAAAAAGAATAAACAGGATAAACAAAATCTCCACCTAGACATATCATAGTGAAACAACAATATGAATTAATTAGACTCACAGATATTGTCTCATCAACAATGACAGAAGCCAAAAAAACAGCACAATGATACTGTCAAGAGGCGGGGGGAAATATCTTTTAACTTAATATTCTACAACCAGTAAAATTATCATTGGAAAAGACAAAAACAAAGAGTTTGCTACCCAACAGACCCTTTCTAAAAGAACCTTTAAAGAATCTACATGAAATTAATAAAAATGATCTCAAGTAGAAGTTCTGAGAATTAATGAGTAATGAATGTTAAATTATGTACAGTAATTACTAAGAAGAATATTCATAGAGTGTAACTTCTACACAAGTAGAGGGGGTAAATAGAATTAAAAAAAAAAAAACTGCCGAGGCGGGTGGATCACGAGGTCAAGAGATCGAGACCATCCTGGTCAACATGGTGAAAGCCCGTCTCTACTAAAAATACAAAAAATTAGCTGGGCATGGTGGTGTGTGCCTGTAATCCCAGCGACTCAGGAGGCTGGGGCAGGAGAATTGCCTGAACCCGGGAGGCGGAGGTTGCGGTGAGCCGAGATCGCGCCATTGCACTCCAGCCTGGGTAACAAGAGTGAATCTCCGTCTCAAAAAAAAAAAAAAAAAAAAAAAAACCGGGGGCTGGAAATATGGCCAGAATAAAGCCAAGAAAAATCATTTATTAATTATAAAAAAGTGAATAGAAAACAAATAAGATAGCAAAAATATCATCAATGTTTATCAGCAATTACAATAAATGCAAATGAGTAAGACTCTCAGTTAAAAGAAAGATTGTCAGACTTTTTTTAAAAAAAGTAACACAACCCCGTCTCTACTAAAAATACAAAAAATTAGCTGGGCATGGTGGTGCGTGCCTGTAATCCCAGCTACTCAGGAGGCTGAGGCAGGAGAATTGCCTGAACCCAGGAGGCAGAGGTTGCGGTGAGCCGAGATCGCGCCATTGCACTCCAGCCTGGGTAACAAGAGTGAAACTCCGTCCCAAAAAAAAAAAAGTAACACATTACTATATTTCATTTAGAAATATTCTAAAAACATAAGAACATAGAAAGGTTACAAGTCAATGTATATAAAAAGATATATTAGGCAAATACTTAAGCAAAAGAAAGCTGGTATAAGGTTATAAAAATTATGATGAAAGCAGCACCATTTACATTAAGGCCAAATAATTAAATACATAGGTATAAATCTAACAAATATGCACAGTCTATATAAGGAAAACTATAAAACTGATGGAAGAAATCAAAGAAGATATAAATAAATGGATAGTCCATGTTCATGGGTAAAAAGACTAAATATTAAGATGTCAGTTCTTTCCAACTTGATCTATATAGTCAATGCAATCCCAATTAAAATCCCAGCAAGTTATTTTGTGGATATTAACAAACTGATGATAAAGTTTATATGCACAGGCAAAAGGCCCAGAATAACCAACACAAATATTGAAAAAGCAGATCAAAACCAGAGGACTGACACCACTCAACCTGAAGAATTACTATAAAGCTATAGTAATCTTTATAGTAATTCTTCAGGTTGAGCAGTGATTAAAGATTTAAACATGAGGCCTAACACCATAAAAACTCTAGAAGAAAACTTAGGCAATGCTATTGAGGACATAGGCATGGGCAAGGACTTCATGACTAAAACACCAAAGGCAATGGCAACAAAAGCCAGAGTAGACAAATGGGATCTAATTAAACTTAAGAGCTTCTGCACAGCAAAAGAAACTATCAATAGGGTGAACCAGCAACCAACAGAATGGGAAAAAAATTTTTTTGCAATCTATCCATCTGACAAAGGGCTAATACACAGAATCTTCAAAGAACTTAAACAAATTTACAAGAAAAAAAAAACCATTCAAAAAGTAAGCAAAGGATATGAACAGATACTTTTCAAAAGAAGACAATTTGCGGCCAAAAAACATACGACTAAAAGCTCATCATCACTGGTCATTAGAGACATGCAAATTAAAACCACATTGAGATACCACCTCACGACAGTTAGAACAGTGATCATTAAAAAATCAGGAGACAGAGGCTGGAGAACATGTGGAGAAATAGGAGTGTTTTTACACTGTTGGTGGGAGTGTAAATTAATTCAACCATTGTGGAAGACAGTGTGGTGATTCCTCAAGGATCTAGAAATAGAAATACCATTTGACTCAGCAATCCCTTTACTGGGCATATATCCAAAGGATTATAAATCATTCTATTATAAAGACACATGTGCACGTACATTTATTGCAGCACTGTTCACAATAGCAAAGACTTGGAACCAACCCAAATGCCCATCAATGTGGACTGGATAAAGAAAATGTGGCATATATACACCATGCAATAACTATGCAGCCACAAAAAAGAATGAGTTCATGTCCTTTGCAGAGACATGGATGAAACTGAAAAGCATCATTCTCAGCAAACTGACACAAGAACAGAAAACCAAACACCACGTTCTCACTCATAAGTGGTTACTGAAAAATGAGAACTGGACACAGGGACATAGGACACATAGAGGTGAACATCACACACCACAGCCTGGGGTGTGGGGGGCTAGGGGAGAAACAGCAGGGGGTGGGGCAACTGGGGAGGGATAGCATTAGGAGAAATACCTAATGTAGATGATGGGGTAATGGATGCAGCAAAACACCACGATGGCACATGTATACCTATGTAACAAACCAGTACAATCTGCACATGTTCCCTAGAACCTAAAGTATGATAAATAAATTTTTAAAAATACAGTAATCAAGACAGTGTGGTACTGGCAAAAGATTAGACAAATAGATGAATGAAAAAGAACAGAGAGCCCAGAAACAGGCCCACATAAATTAGTCAACTGATCGTTGAAAACAGAGCAAAGGCAATTCAATGGGGGAAAAAAAAAAAAAAAGGACTGTCTTTTCAACACATAATACTCAAACAACTGGACATTCACATGTGAAAAACAAAATCTAGATACAGACCTCACATTTTACCCCAAAATTAACTCTAAATGGATCATAAATATAAGTGTAAAACACAAGACTATAAAACTCCTAGAAGATAACACTGGACAAAAATCAGGGTAATCGGGTCTGGTGATGACTTTTTAGATAAAACACCAAAGCACAATCTGTGAAATAAAAAATTGATAACTCAGACTTCATTAAAATTAAAAACCTCTGCTCTGTGAAATACACTGTTAAGAGAATGAAAAGACAAGCCACAGATGGAGGGAAAATATTCGCAAAACACATGTCTGATACAGGTTTGGTATTCAAAATATACAAAGAACTCAACAACAAGAAAACAGCAAACAGAATTTAAAAATGAGCGAAAGATGTGAACAGGCACGTCATCAAAGAAGATATAGCACGCTGCTGTTTGGACACTGTTGAGAATATGCAGAGTACAGCCATCATGAAAAAATAGTGTGGAGGTTCCTCAAAAAACTAAAAATAGAACTATCATATAATCCAGCAATTCCACTGTTGATATATATACAGATATAGATATATAGACATATATCTCCAAAAGAAAAGAAATCAGTATATAGAAGAGATAGCTGCACTCTCATGTTTATTGCAGCACAATTCACAACAGCCAAGATATGGAATCAACCTAAGTGTCCACCAATGGATGAATGGATAAAGAAAATATGGTATAGATACACAGTGGAATATTATTCCACCATAAAAAGAATGAAATCCTGTCATTTGTAGCAACACCAATGGAACTGGAGGGTAAGTGAAATAAGCTAGGCACAGAAAGACAAATTATCATATGTTCTTACTCACGTGTGGGAGCTAACAAAAGGGGAATCTTGTGACAGTAAAGAGTAGAATGATTAACACCAAAGGCTGGGAAGGGTGTGTGAGTGGGTGGGAAGCAGGATGAAGACAGATTGGCTAATGAGCACAAACATGCAGTTAAATAGAAGGAATAAGTTATAGTATTCAATAGTATGGGGGAAAATCATAGTTAATAACTTACTGTATATTTCAAAACAGCTAGGAGAGGAGAATTATAACATTCCCAACACAAAAATCAATGTCTTATGTGATGGATGTCCCAATTACCCTGACTTGATGATTACACATTGTATATGTGCATCAAATTATCACATGTATCCCAAAAACATGTATAACTATGATATGCAGTAAAAAATACAAAGAAAAAAAGACGACAAATAAGCATATGACAAGATAGTCAGCATCTGTTACAGGCTGAATTGTGTTCCCCCAAAACTCATACGCTGAAGTCCTAACCTCTCGGCATTCCAGAATGTTACTACATTTGGAGATAACTACAGTAAAATGAGGTCATATGTAATTGGAGGTAATTAAGTTAAATGGGGTCATATGGGTGGCCTCTAATCCAACATGACTAGTGTCTTTATGAGGAGAGTGGGACAGACACATACACACAGTGAAAAAGACCACATGAAGACACCAGAGATAGAAGGTCATCTACAAGACATAGAGAAAGGCCTTCAAATAAACCAAACCTGCCAACACCTTGATCTCAGATGTCTAGAGCCTCTTGAGTTGTGAGAAAATGAATGTCTGTGTTTCAACCACCCAGTCTGTGGTACTTGGTCACAGCATCCCTAGCAATTAATACAACATCAAACATCTTTAGAAAATACCAGATTGAAACACTAGGGAGGCCTGGCATGGTGGCTCACACCTATAATCCCAGCACTTTGGGAGGCCGAGGTGGGTGGATCATGAGGTCAGGAGTTTGAGACCAGTCTGGCCAATATGGTGAAATCTCAAAATTACTAAAAAAAAAAAATACAAACATTAGCAGGGTGTGGTAGCATGTGCCTGTAATCCCAGCTACTTGGGAGGCTAAGGCAGGAGAATCGCTTGAACCTGGGAGGTGGAGGTTGCAGTGAGCCAAGATTGCGCCACTACACTCCAGCCTGGGTGACAGAGTGAGACTTTGTCTCAAAAAAAGGAAAAAAGAAAAGAAACACTAGGGAATTTCAAATTAAAACAACGTACCTATTAGAGTGGGCCATAAAATTAATCTCAATAATTATTTAAGGATTGATATACAAATCATTCTTTCATATATGGTTATCCATGCAAAAAAAAAAAAAAAAAAAAAGAAAGAAAGAAATTAGATCCTTCCCATACACAAAATCAATTCTTGGTAAACTGACAAATGGGAAACATAAAAATATAAACCTTTTAGAAAACAATATGAGAAAATATCTTCATAATTTCTATTTTAAGAAAAGATTTTGTAAAACAAAAAATCCAAACCATAACATGTTTTGCTATTTTGACTACAAAAAAATTAAGGAGTTTTGCTCATCCAAAGACAACAAAAATAATAAAAAGATTAAAAGACAAGTAACAACCTGCGCAAGACATTTGCAACACATGAAGTTAACAAAATGTTTGTACCCAAAATATATAAAGCAGCCTACAAATTAATAAGATAAAGACAAACCATCTCCTGAAAATGGGCAAGAAACTTGAACAGATGCTTCACAATAGAGGAAATGCATACAGCCCATAAGCATGAAAATAGGTTCATCCTCATTTGTAATCTAGAAAACGCAAATTAAACGGTAATGGAATACCATTTAAGCCCTTCAGATAGGCAAAGATTTCTAAATCAAACAAGGGAAGTACTAGTGAGGCAAGGAGAAGCAGAGGCTCTGATCCACCACAGATAGAGTATGCAGTACAGACAGGCATTACCTAGGAAGGTGGAGGACACAGGTATCCCACACCTGGCGATCCTAGAGAAACTTCCTCAAGTGTGCACAAGAGCATAGTTTGTAATAGAAAAGACAGGCGATTACCCAAATAACCATCAATTATGGAATGAATATTTCAATGGAATGCTAAATAACGAAATAGCAAACAACCAAAACTAAACACATATTATTGATATATCTACATATGGGTGATAAAGAGAATCAAGGGAATAATTAATGTACAATTCAAGACGCCTCTTAAGGAGTATATGGAGAGGATGGAGTATATGAAGGATGGAGTATACAAAGAGGGAGGCAGACGAGATGGGATGGGGTACTCAGGGGTTTCTACAGGTCAGCTCATCCTCTTCTTCAGCCAGGGGATAGGTAACAGATGTTTGCTCTGTGATTACACAAACTATATAAATACATTTTATAGACCCTTTTGTATACATATATATCTCACAATAGAAATTTTTCAAGAAATGAAAGCAAAGAAATAATTATTAGGAACACAAAACTGTGTAATCTTACCAGGATAAGAATGTTTCTGTTTATTTGAAATTTCTGAAAGGGTATCCAGGGAATCTGTCACTCTGTGAATAAAGCAAAATACACCTCATTAGAAGTAGTTGGTCTTCAGATTTAAGAATGGTTATCAACTAAGTTTTTCATACCAAATGTAGTCATTCATTAGACAAAGATTTATTGAATATCCATTATAAGCCAGGAGCTTCGATCTGGCATGAAAGAAAAACAATAATTAAAATAGAAGAGGTTCTCACTATCTAATTAGTATAGAAAAAAATTAAAGTGAATTCACTAAAATATGAACTTGAATTTATTTCTTTGAAACGTCATCTTCAAAGGTGAAACTAAAAACTATGAAAATTAAGTTTATTTGATATTAAACTTAACAAATGTTAGATTAATATTGTGAAAAAGGCAGGAATTCTTAAATTGAAAGGAAAAGGCATTGGCTGAGTTTGTGTGAGTGATTTTTCTGGTAAAACTATAAGGCTAATACAGCTCAACATCTTTTACTTTATATTTGACTCTAAGCCACGATCATAAAAGGTCACTTTCCCGATGGAGTTTCCTTCATTTTTTGATATTCAAATCATTCTTTATTTTTGAAAAGTCAATCCTGACAGCCTCATTTTCTTTCAACTGTTAATGACCTAAATCTGGAAAGCCTTCATCTGTCAATCGTTTCCTCCAGCATATCTTATTGCCATCAAGAAATCCTGCAACTCTTGCAATATTTGCCATGTCACCTAACAATTCATATGCATCATTTTTACATGATATACAACATACCGCAATGAGAGACTGATGGACACAAAGAAGGTGATTTTATCAAGAGGACGGATATTTGAATGAAGCAGTAACAGCTGAGAGAAAGTGAATTCTGAAAGTAATCAGTTCATTAATAGTAAGTGTCTAATAATAGCAAGAACTAAGAAAGTGAATATTATGCTAATGAAGATCATTTGAGCAAAGTGTGTGTGTGTGAGAGAGATTAGATTTAGCCTAGTCAATTTTCTTAGAGTATCTCTAAAGAAATTTTGACTGATTAATATATTAACAGAAGAAAAGGTGTTCACTTAGTGAATGCTGGGCAATAGTAGGTGGGTGTAGAAAGCCATCCAAGCAGAAAGAAATAACATGTGCAAAGATTCTGGGGTAGGAAGCACATTTTACAAACAGAAAGGGGTTTGGGGGTAAAGGTCAGCTATAGTCCTGGGGAGGACGAAGATGCAAGATGTGACTGTGACTGGCCACTACCTTATTAGGACTGTCCTCAAACAGTCCCTAGTTTAAAATTCTTCCATCTTGAAGAGCAGTGGTATCTTTCAAGAGCTCCAAAGCTGGTTCAGATGAGAAACTCCTCAAAATCAGGGACCATGTCTGTTTTATTTGCTTATAGAATGCCTAGCGCAGCACAAGTGCTAAAAGACACTTAATAGTATTTGATGATGATGAATGAGACAATCAGAAGATGACAGGAAGACAGCTGGATTGAGATAGCAGTTCATTTAGAAACAGGCCTATTTTTTTAAGAGGGGGCTGCTTTTAAATACACCACCTTAAAGAAAACCAAATAGAAGGCAATCAAAAAAAAAAAAAAAAAAAACCAAACAACGTAAAAAAAAAAAGTGTGCTCCAGAAACAAAGCAAGAAAGAAAAGATGAAACCATGAAAAAGCGGCTTTACGACATAGAGGCGGTGGAAAAAGCTGTTAGAGCATAAAATGCACTGAACTAGGAATCAGATGGGATCAATATTTAATGTGCCTAAAATATGCCAAATTATGTACTCTGGGTAATCAAACATGAAAAAGCAGAATCCCAGTCCTCATGACTAGGAGACAAACACAACTTCTAAGAGACTGCTGCAATGTGTTGATGAAAATATGCCCAAAGTAACATGAGAACACAGAAGGCTGGCTGGTGACTCAGCATCGATTTTACTCCCAAACCAATCATTTACAAGATGTACATCCCGAAGAAGGTCCCTGAAGCTCTTCTAATCACTATAGTGCTACGGTTAAGGACACACATGCTGAAACTAGACAACCTGGGTTCAGATCCCCACTTTGGAGCACAGCACACGTCACCCCTTGTGCCTTACTTTCCTCATCCATGGAACATGGTGCCTGCACCACAGAGCTACAGGAGAGCAGTAAACAGGCTAATACATGAAGAGTCCTGCAAACGGATCCCAGCACATATAAACAGTATTCGTAGTTACTACCTCCTTTTCTTCATTTATAAAATAAAAATAATAATAATAAAAAAGAACAAACCATCTAAAAGCAAGGGCTTACAAAAAGACAATTACAAAATAACACACCTGGGCTGAGTCCAGCCCCACGGCTAATTAGCGTTTGACTTTAGCTAAATCACTTAGCTCTTTGAAACCTGTTTCTTCATCTGCAAAATGGAAATAATCCTAATAACTTACAGCTCACGAGATCTGGGGGGATTTATGAGGTATACATCTAAAACACACTGTGCAGAGCCTACCCACTTACTAAATGCTCAATACATGTTTGTTAAAGTTATTATTTTCCAGCTTACCTAACCAATATTTATTAGGATAAATGAAACAACATTTAAGTGAAGATACTTTATGAACTACAAAGCATTGTATGTTAAATTCTATATTACCATAAATAAGAAGAAAATTATATCAAGTATATCATAGAAGGAAATTAATACAAAAAATATGAAATGATTCACTAAGGAAAACAAACTGAGGGAGAAATAGATGTAAAATCTTCAATTCCCCGAGAGATAGTCTCAACAGTCTAGTTGCAAGGGAAAGCCAGACAAGACTCCCAGATTGCGATCGTAGTTCTAGTCTCATGAATGTAATTACGCCATGTATGTTATCTCTCATTTAAAGATTAGTATCCCATTTCCTATCCACTGAAAGGCATAGCAAGCAACTTCTTCCAGCCCATAAGAGAAGCCATTTCACATAATAATACCTGGAATTTTATGAGGACTTTGTTTCTGCTCAACTTATTTTTTAAAACCAGATGAGGTGGTATGAAAGATACTACCTTAACAAGAAACATCAAGGAGGTATATTATATAAAAATCCTTGAGGCTTCACTTCCCCCAAAGATCTACTGCCTATCTATTTTTGAAAACTAAAGAAATCAGAGGAAAAAGCCATTTTGGTTCCATTAGGTTTGTAGGAGAATGAATGGGGTGCCTGCTGGCAGGAAATTTAATGTAGTTAGGATGTGACTGAAGCAATCAGAGAGCATTTTTACTTTTGTTTGCATGACAGATTAAGCTTGCTGCTCTCACTGTTCTTAGCTGCAAATGCCACTTCTAATAGCCTACACATACTCACAGGATTTGCAAATGAGGAATAAAGGAGGTTTTTGAAATTGCAAATCCCCAGCAAAGCAAATTTAGCTTTCCATGAGCCTTCTCTCTGAAGAAGGTGGTTGGTTAACCCCTTGAAAGAAGACATGAGCTACATTCAAGGCATGTCTTTAATATAAAATTAGTGTCTCCATTAACCACTGCCAACTATAAAAAGTGTCTGTGAATAAACATAAATTTCATTCTCTTACCTTTGCACCCTGGATGGGGGAGCAAATATTCCATATCTTGGAGAACAACTAAAATACTGCACACCTCCAACTGAACCATCATTCTTGCCATGCGGTTTTTCAAGCTCTATACCATACCAATATCCTAGAACATGAATATTGCATTTTAAAAGCATCTGTACTTTATCCAAAACTGTTATGCTGCTATACAGAACCAAAGTCTAGATGGTTTAACGTTTCCGTAAATGACCAAAATGAGGGAAAGTTATTATACTCATTAAGATTTCAAATGATAAAATTATAAAATTTGAAAATTTGAAAAGTAAACAGGAAAAACATTTTACAAGTATCATTGCAGAGCAGTACATTAAAGGAGGGAAATAAAATGCACAAACACAAATTTGGCAAGAATTAGCTATTGCGCAAACAGTGTATGACCAAAATAGATCTAAAAGCTACAATGAAAAACTGTTCTTGACTCGGTCATATAGTGTGTTTCGGTGAAAGAAGTGAAACATACTATTGAGATTTTAAAATCATAAAATGAACATGCAATCTTTTCATTTTATGATTTTTACCTAATCATTAGGTTCTAATCTTTACCTAACATTAGAACACCACACACAGTTCTCAAATAATTAAAGAAGGACAAAAATAATATACAAAATACCACTAGACATCATGGTGAGTGCTTTTTCTTTTCTTTTTTCCCCCCAAGGTAAAAAAGAAAAATCTTTTTTTTTTTTTTTACCTAAATTAAAAGGTTTAGGTTGGCTAATAGGGAGAATTATTTTTAAGACTTTTTGTACTTAAAAGGGCCTACTCTGAAGGAAATAACAGGATTTCCTTTTCTAGATAGCCTAAAATTAAAGTAGCAAGGTTGCTTTAACTGTGGTTTTACCCAGAATAAGGTAAATGGACACGTACTCCTAAAATAAGGATTTTCAAATTGAGGGTGCCTCAAGACCAATTAAAAGTACCTCATAGTCCATTTCTTTGTGATTTAAAGGGAGGATATAGTAGTAATTGTATTTGGTCTCTTAGTATCAAGTAAAAATAGATATCAAGAAACTTATTGCAAATTACAAAATCCAAACATAGTGTTTCTTTCAGAGTACTAGTTCAAAGAATTATATGCCTTCTAAAAAACCAACTCACAATTTCATAATTTTTTTCCTCTATGTTTAAAAAGACGATACTTGAATCCATTTCCTATGTCATACAAGTAATGTCTACAAAACTATTGTTAAGCCATACTAATGCTCTGAAAAGAGGTCAGCACGTTTCCCAATGTCCTAAACCAGGTTAGTCTGGTCACCACTGTTATTTCTCAGTGTTACAATTTTTCAAGTTTTACTTGCTTCTGCCTTTTATGCTTTCCTACATAATTTTTGCATTTTCCGATTTTAATTTAGCATATAATTGCTAATGTTAACATATAATTCTTGGAAGCGTGTAACATAACAGCAGAAATACATATGGCAAGTGTTAACAATAAAGACTACACATTGGCAGTGTCGTGGTATGGACAGCTTCCCAATTAAATGTTAATTTTCTTTCCAAGGTGGCACATAAAAAATGCTGACAAGACTAAATACAACCTCTCTCAATTCTAGATCTCATAACCCCCAAACACTTCAGATATTACCACTGTTCTGCAGCAATGATTGATTTTTTGATGCTACTATTTCCTTACAGAACAGAACGTTTTTAACAAAAATGTTTCCAACTTTATTATATTTGCTTATTACTTCCCAAATTTCTAAATGCTTTCATTAGGAATTTAAAAATTAAAATCAACCTAAATGAAGAATTATATATCTCCAAAGATATATATGTATCTCCAAAGATATATATTATATATAGATAGATAGATACATACATACATTTGTGGAACCAAAGATAGATATATAGATATATGTCTCCAAAGAATCAAACCATTCTATCTTGGTTTAACATAATCAGAGAAAGGGAACTCAAAAGACACATGGTAATCATAAAAAATAACCTACCTGTGGGATTCTTAAGTTTTTATTTGATACCTATATTAAGTATATCTTAACTAATCTCAGTTACTACATGGAGACCTAAGAAAGTCATGAATTATGAAACACCTAACTCAAGTCAAGCAGTTGGCTTGCAATTAATTAAAAGTGTTATTAGTGGAACAAGAATGTATTGGGAGACAGTCGCCTAGGGTCCTGTCATGTTTCCACATGTCTTATGGGTAGGGGCAGTGACTACCTTTGTTCTAGACTATCTTTTCGTAAATGTCTGTATAGGAGACAGCCTTGGAGGATAGAGATAGCATCTCCCACCAGAGCAAATGGCAGGCATGTGTACAATTAGTTCAGTTTAAAGATTCAGATTCCCTAAGCTCTGGGCTTCTTTCGTGGAACAAAACACTGACCGTGCAGGTGACACCTGGTGCTCACACTCGTGTGCTCTCTCTTGCGCGTGCTCTCTCTCTCTCACCCTGCGGGCACTGGCACTAAGGCAATAGTTCAAGAAAATGCTGACACTCTGGCTACTGCAATTACTGTGAGTACTAGAGTGCTTTGTCTCAAACCTGTGATGACTCACTGGAGACAAAGCACTCTAGGACTCACAACATCTTCCACCAACATATAGGAAACTGTGGCAGGCGAATTTGTGAGCTTGTCAATAGGGTAAAATCTCAGATCCTTCCCTCATAGTTCTTGGCCAAATGTTGCAAACTTTTTTTTTTTTTAATCAATGTTCTAGGTAACCTTTTCCTAAAATGCTGCAATGCCACCATGTGTTAAAATAGCATATTGCTATTTAAAACATACAAACTTGGTTTCGATCAACCAACTTTTATTTAAAATTATAATCACTGACAATACTAAAGAAAGTAACCTTTACTTTTGGAAACACAACGTTACGTATAGATGGGAATGAATATATAAATACACAAACATGTATTTTTTTAGGGCCCGGGAGATGCAAAAGCTTTTTCTTATTCCTTTGGGCCCTTTTGTGTGCTTTCCTCTCCAAGCCACTCTGATAAAAAGGTAGTTAACTCATTATTTATTACTTATGTTAAAGGCTATCCTTAGCAAAAATCTAATCCTAAAATGTTTGCCTGTCACTTAGCACACCCAGCAATCAGTAGGAGTAAAACTGAAGAATGATCACTAATTTTTAACTCTGACCATTTAAAATACAATTGGCAAGAAAAAAATGTATGGGTAACCATCCACCTGCAAAAACGGTCTGAGTTTTCATCATCGTTTGACATTTTCAGGGCTACGGTGCCAGCCACAAAAACTGTTCATCAGGATTTCTCTACAATTAAATTCTATTTACATGTAACATTTTAAACCTTTTGTATTCCGAAGATCAAGTTAAGCTAACATGCAGATGAGTTACCTGGAGCAAAGTTTGTTGTCCCAAAGAACCTAATGGTGCCCAGTCTCTGTCCTACCACTAGCACTCTCTCCCCGAGGCGGAGGTCCCCCTCACAACGGCTATTATTTGCTGTAGATGTTGCTGAGGAATTCAAACCTGTTTAAGTAGGGGAGGGGCGGGGTGGGGGAGGGCAGGAAAAGAGGAGAAAAAAAAAAAGGAGAAAGACTCAAAAAGCACATTAGCCAGAAAAATCACACCAGGTATTCTAACTAGTCTAGTTAGTTTTGAAATCTGATGCTTTTCATCACGTAAGTCATCTACAGTCGTGTTTCTCACATGAGAGGTCAAGTTACTTGAAAGGAAATGTGAAGGGTTTCCTGGGAAAATTATTGCCATGGAAAATTCACAAAACCTGATCCCTGGTAAAGCACCAACTCTGCCCAGATTGCCTGCAGCATCTCTACTAGAAGAGGAGTCACAGTAAACTGTTTCTGCAAAGAGCCTGACAGTAAATATGTTAGGATTTGCTAGCCATACCATCTTTGTCACAACTATTGAACTCTGCCATTGCAGCATGAAAGCAGATATAAAGCAGATATACACAATACATTTTTTTAACGTGCATGGCTGCATTCCAAAGAACTTTATTTACAAAAACAAATGCTAGGTCAGATGCGTCCCATGGGCCATAGTTTGCTAATTTCTATTCTACTAAACACTAGAATTGTAAATAGTTCACTCAGACTCAGTATAAATTATATAAAAAGTAATGTGATTTTACTTTTTTTTTTTTTAATTTAAAGAAACAGGGTCTTTTACTGTGTTTACCAAGCTAGTCTCAAATTCCTGGGCTCAAGTCATCCTCCCACCTCAGCTTCCCACAGTGCTAGAAAAACAGGCACAAGCCACTGTGACCAGCCAAAAGCAACGTGATTTGCAGGTTAAATTACGATATGGCTCTAATTATCCTAAACTGATTTTGTTATTAAGAACAACTTAATTCATTCAATTTGATTCACTCAAAATTAAACTTTGCAATGTCCACTATTAAACATAGAAGTCCTAGAGAAATATGATCTAGAAAGCTGTTCAAATATAACAGCTGAAAGAGAAGAGGTGGGTGCTTGAGCCTGGTCCTGTCAGTACAGAAACAGAGATTTGAAGAGCTGCCATCTGAGAGGAACTAGACAACTCTGGAGGAGGGCATGGGATGGAGAATAAGTCATATTGTGAAAAAAGAAGAAACCAAAAACAAAGCAACTAACCAAGGAACATAAGCCCATGGAGAAGGTCTGGATTACACCAAAAAGTCCTAGACCCTCACCGTAACAAATATTCTACAGCACTTCATAGTTACAAAGTGCTTTTCATAAAAATTATACTGAAAAAAAAGATACAAACTCAGGAATTAACTAAGACACACTGTTAACAGCCAGTAAGTGGTACACCTAGATTAAAACCAAGACTCTGTGGCAAGAAATCCTCAGTCCTGTCCCCTTGTTGCCTGTAGACAATGAACCAAAGATGGCAAGTTCAACATTGGGACACAGGCTGGGCATGGGCTCATGCCTGTAAATCCCAGCACTTGGGCCCAGGAGTTGAAGGCCGCAGTAGCTATGATTACAACACTGCACTCCAGCGTGGGTGACAGAGCAAGACCTTATCCCTCATACATATATATATCATATATATATATATGATATATATATATATTTCATATATATATATAAATCTCATATCTATATAAATCTCATATCTATATAAATCTCATATCTATATAAATCTCATATATATATATATCTCATATATATATCTCTCTCTCTCATAAACTGCTTTCCTACTATTATTTTAAAGTCCCATCAAAAATTAAATTGAGAAACAGAGGTTAAAAGTTATATTACCATATATATATTATATATATATAATCAATGGGATATGAGGCTGAGGTCCCTACCTTTCCCACTCCCCAAATCCTTTATTTCCACTCTAACCTAACCTTTCATTATTGTTAATTCTCTGCAGTCTACATCTCCCTCAAATGCAAATCTATAGGAAGAAGTAGAATATCTACTCACTCAAGAAAAATGTTTTAGGTAAATGTCTCTGGGGTTCCCAACACGGACTTTCCTGTATCTCCCGTTCTCTGCCCCATTTCCCTCTGTGAAAGGTCCTCTTTCTCACTCTGATAACTCTTCATCTTCACTATTGTTTCAGTCTACATAACCCGTAAATTCTTTTTTTAAAAAAGGAAAATATATAGGCATGCTAGACTACTTTAAAATATTTTTTTTCTGAAGTAATTCCATACCCATATATAAATTGTAAAATCACGTAAATGTCCAAAGTGCAAATGCCAAATTCAGGGGGCCTTAAGATGTAAATGAAATGAGGACAAACAGGACGGCTGCGTCATCATGGGACCTTCTCACGTCTGCTCCTCACAACATAAAGAAAAACTGGTTGGGGTACGGAGAGAGGAAGTCATTCAGAGAATAAATATCCCAAGTAAACAATTCCAGGCAAAACTTCCAGGTTCTCTGCTTTTAGGGTCCCAATTTTTAGTTTTATTATGTCAATATTATTGTCGAGAGTTTTGGAGGTTTTTTTTCCCACATTCAATAATTTTAAAAAGAAAAAAAAATCTGTCGTGAACATTTTCCATAATAAAATTTTGATTCTGGCCAGGTGCAGTGGCTAACACCTGTAATCCCAGCATTTTGGGAGGCCAAGGTGGGCAGATCACCTGAGGTCAGGAGTTCCAGACTAGCCTGGCCAACATGGTGAAACCCTGTCTCCACTAAAAATACAAACATTAGCTGGGCATCGTGGTGGGCGCCTGTAATCCCAGCTACTCAGGCAGGAGAATCACTTTAACCCAGGAGGCGGAGGTTGCAGTGAGCCAAGATTGCCCCATTGTACTCCAGCCTGGGGGACAAGAGCGAAATTCCATCTAAAAAAAAAAAAAAAAAGATGTTGGTTCAGTACAAGTACCATTAATACAAGTATTTAAAAAGAATCTGGTAATAAAGAGGTTCATTAAGAACAAGTTTTGCCAAGACGGCTTTTGCATTTCTGGACAAGTTCACTATATAGGCAAATAAGTGAACTGCAACAGAAAATCTATGTCAGTTCAAAAAGAAGTCTGATAAAGTGTTTTAGGTATCTTTACAAATAACTGAAGAAATGTGGACTGAGTGAGATTATGCAGGTTCACAGCTAGTTAAAAAGCCGTATCAGAACTGCTGGTATTGTCATCCTGGGAGGGGACACTGACCTTCACCTAGGTTCTAAACAAACACGGTTTTAAAACAATCACTTGAATAAAAACAGAGAAAGCATGTTTTTAAATACGAAGATGACACAAAGTCCTGTGAAGAAGCTAATATGCAAGATGTAAGAAACTAAATTCAGATTAGATGAAACTACGAAGAATGAATTAGATGAAAATAAATGCCAAGTCTTAAATCTGACAGCAAAACCAAGAGACCTGAAGGCTTAAGGCTCAGGGGGAGGCGGGAAGAGTGCAAGTAGTTCAATCTGATTGAAGTAAAGGGTTCCTTCTACACATTTAAAAAGAGCAAATCTACTTACAAACAAACCAAGATAAAAAACACCAAGAAAGCCTGGTTGAAAAAGCCATAGATACCAGCACTGGCTCTGGGTGAAACGGAAGGGCTTTTGCTCATTGTCTTCTTGTTACTGCTGCTTGCATTCTGTTTCTTGGGGTAGCTCTGTCTGTGTTCCAAAGAAGATGTAGAGGAGCAGCTGCTGACAGATCCAAGCAGGGTAACTAAAACAGATAAAGAACGTGTCAAGCTGTGGAAAATAGGACATGGACCAAGAAGCAGCTAGTCGAGGCAAATCTTTCTGAAACTCTCCATTGAACTTCTTCAATTATGGATTATCTAGTGTCAAATTCAATGCCCGATTTCATCCAAATAGCATCTGTAGTTTATATATAAAAGATTTTATAACACAAACAATAGTATTTTGAGGATTCGCACTGTCAGATCACAATCTTACGTAAGAGGTGTCCACATGAACCATGTAAACTACCTAATCTAATGACCGTCACTCACCTCTCACCTTAGATGACACAGAAGAGTCCCGTCTTGTTTACACAAAATTAAACATGATATTAAGATGTTTTAAGACAACAAAGGTTTAATATTGAGATGTTCTGAGTTAAACCTGAAGGCAAGCAGGAATACTCATGCTCAATTCATCTAACAATTTGATAGCTAAAAGCAAGTGAAAAATTTGTGTAGAGCCATCTATATTATGGAATTTCCTGTTTTTAAAAATATATCTAGTCCAGTAGTTATCTAATTTAAGTCAGACAAAAGAATCACAGTACAGTATTTTACATACACACAAAAAAAATCATGTATATAGCTTGTTGTGAGCTGCATGATTTCCAAGGTTAAATTTTACTATAATTTTTCCCTTACCAATTTTAAAACTTAGCCTCCATATAAACTGCTTTCCTACTATTACTTTAAAGTCCCATCAAAAGTTAAATTTTGAGAAACAGAGGTTAAAAGTTATATTACCATCTTTCTCTGTCACAGTTTTCAGTTCTTCACCGGGAGGCAATGAAAGTGTTGATTCAGAAGCACTATTTTTTTTTGATGTCATTAATCCTTGGACACAAAAATAAAATACTTTCAGCAAGAATTTTAACATTAAACATAAAATGTATTTTTTTAAGTACATGCATCCCTCATTGAAATCTTACTTCTGAAAACATGTTGGATAATAACTACACAGATGTATGACGACACGTTTTGGTAAAAGCACCAGCTTAGCACACAACAATAGTGGCTACAAAGATAAATTAAAGCCCATCAAGAAAATCACATTCAAGATGGGTTGTGAGGGACGGGTCAGATTTCTTCCTGAGAATACTGGCCATATGGTCAGGAAGAGCTGAGGGCAGGCATTCCGGATGGACAAAAAGACAATCTTAAAAGACACAAAATGGTGAGGAGCTTGGCTGGAACAGAATACTTTTGGAATGTAGGAGAATCAAGATTAGACAGACAGGTCACAGTAACACCTCAGAGGGAGGTGACAGTGCCCAGCTAAGAACTGGAAACTCTTCTGTAAAGAAGGAGCCTCTGCTGGGCTTTGAAAAGGAACACTGACATGAACGGAGTCTAGCTATATAATACTCTCCTGACAGCCTGCGGTTCCGATCTCCATTCAGTTTCCACAGCCTTTGTGGGGCTGTTTGAATTTGTCTCACATGGTGTGCATGCAGCCCAGTAGTCAGTCTGGGACCCAAGCAGTTGTCTACCAAGGAGACTGAAGGCTTTGGGCAGATCCAGGCATACACAACTTGTAAGAAGACCTAGGGGTTCACAGGCAAAATTCTGAGGCCTCTTTCTTGAGCCCCCTCCTCTCCATGATTTCCCTGACACTTCCTGCTCCTGGGCATCCCTTCCTGGTATTTTGAGTAGAATGCCTAGGCTTTAGTTTCCTTGCTCTGTCCTACAATCTTGAGACTAACTCTGCCTGTGGGGCCAAGCAGTGAGAAAACAGAAGAAAAACCAACGGGGATTCCATCTATGTCCTTGGACCAAAGTTTCTCTGGTCAGAGACATGGATTTCCCTTCCTTGGGGTTTCGGGTGCCTGCCCATCCACACTGTGCAGGATAGCCTAGGGACTGGATGGGGAGAAACAAGGGAAGCAAAAGGCAAGCAAGAAAGAGAACAGGTGATTTCCTCCACATTCTATCTAATAGGAGACCCCTTTTCCGCTCCTCATACCAGAAACAGAGGGGGCGTCTCTTGGAGCTGTCTATATTCACTGTACACTTCTGGGTTTCAAGTTAAAAGGATGCCACTTATAATAGCATCAAAACGTATGACGTACCTACCAACAGACTAAACAAAACATACATAAAATCCCTAAAGAAAAAAAATGACATAACTTTGTTGGCATATTTTCAAAGGGCCTAATATAAATAGAAAGATAGTCTAAACACAAAAGACTATCGTAAAGATGTCAGTTCTTTCCAAATTGATTTAAGGTTTAACTAAAACATCAGTTAAAACCTGAACAGAATTTTTAAAAAGAAACTTCGGAGTTTATTCTAAAATATATATGGAAGTATGATTTATAAAAGCCCAAAGTAGGCAAGACAATTATCAAGAATGAGATAAGAGGCTTTCCACTACTGGACATCAAGATTTATTTTTTAAAACTATACTTATTATGGAGTGCAGTATTGACACAGAATATTCAAACAGCCCAGTGGAATAGAATATAAAGGCCAGCCAAACTTGGACAAATTCCTTTCATCCTGGTAGAGAGCTTTTTACCTCAATTATTTACAAATTAGCAAGTATTTATTGAGCACCTATTTTGTGCATTGCCACAGTGAAAACAACACTACAATATACTGTCACGGTTCTGTTAAAGTTTAAATTTTTGCTGAGAGAATAGGACCTTTGCACAAATAAAGCAGTCAGAGGACAAAACCCAGGATAACAAATAACGGTTGAGTGGTATGGATAAAAGCACACACAACGTTAGGGAATGAGGAGATTAAAGTGAACTGGAGTTACCAAGAAAGTGTTCATGGAGAAACAGGATCTGAATAAGGAAGTTGAAAATATGGTGAGGACCTCAAAAGGCAGAAGTCAAATTACTGCACCCAGATAAACAGCATGAGACAAAGTACGAAGGGAGGAGTGAGAAACTGTAGGTTAAAGACAGGGAAGAGATACGAGAAACCATAGTCCAACTACGGAAGTTGTGTGAGGCTCTATCAATAAAGAGAGGGAGCTGTGACTGCTAGTTTCAGGAGTCAGGACTTTTTCCTGGTAAAAAAAAAAAAAGAAGTCACTAGACATCCTTCAGTAGGTCAGGAACCTAAAGCTAGTTGTGTTCCATAAGAAATTCATGAAAGTGTGAAATCTAGCTTTGAGGATAGATTACGTGTGATAAACGTATGGCAACAGTAAGGGGAAAAAAGGAAGGAACAAATGTGAAATACATGTGCTAGGAACGGAAGTCACTAAAATTGAGGTTTCAAAACACATAAGATGCAGGTTTTATTACATTCAGGTTTCATAGTTGGCTAACAAAAAAAAGTGAAGCAATCTAAATATTAGAAATTTTACAAATAAAATACTGAAGCAGACGGTTAACTTTCTGGTTGGACCTACCAGTATTTACTTTTGACGTTACATGAGCTACGTCAATTTTCTGGGACCTAATGAGAGGCACGGCAGCTTTTGCAGAAGGAGTGTGTGCCATATTCTTCCTTCGATCTTTTGCTTTACTTATCTTTGAAAGAGGTGCAAAAATACCTAATGGAGAATGCAGAATTTTGGTGTCAAACAATTAAAACATTTCAAATAAAGGAACAAGTACAATTAATTAGTAACATAAATCTTTAATATAAACATTTAGTGCTCACCATATGTCCTATCATGAGCCGGAAAAAAATCTAAGACACAGTACTTACCCTCAAAGAGCTTACAATCTAGTTTTTAAGACTAATAACACATCAATAATTTAAGAGCCACATTTCAGGTGTTAAGTGAAATTCAGGAGAAAGAGAAATGAGTAAAGGTATTATTAATAGCTTTCTATTATTTCTAAGCAATTGGCAAATGATAGTGAGCTAAACAGCATAAAAACCTATTCTTCCATACCAACTTGTATCTCTTTTGGAACTTAAATTTATCCCACATTATAGCATTTTACATCCATGTCTTATCTCTCTTCCAGACGAACACCTTTTAAAGGCAAAATTCAAATGTTACCTAAGTCTGCATTCCTCCACCATACCTAATTACAGCGTGTTATACACAGCAGGGATATAATAAATCTTTCTGACTATAAAATATAATCTTCCTAAAAGGCCTGGCCCTCAGGTCCTGACAATCAGAAACAATACAGTGTGTGCTGGGGAGTGGTGGCAGCAGGGGCAGGGGAGTTGCCCATCTGCAGCAGCTGGGAGTACAAAATTCCATCAAAAAGGTGTTTATCCACACAATAAAGTAACCAGCCTAAGAAGTATGAACCGACATTAGAGATAGTGAATACAGACTCTAAATACCAAGATAATCTGGCTAAGATATTTAAAAAGTGAAAATAAAGCCACAATATGTATATTACACTCTTTCATTGAGTGTTTACAATCTAGCAAGTATACATTATAACTAAAATGGAACGTATTAAAGACAGCTTGTTTTAAAGCAGGGTAGAAATGCTCAAGACTCTACAAAACCTGAGTGCTTTGTTAATAACCAAAAAGTAGCAACTGCACTACTTTTCTGCTAATCTTAAAATTCTCTCCCACCTCAGAGACCATACTACTTTATCCTGATTTTCCTTTTTTTTTAAACTTATTCACAATGTTCTCTCTTCTGTCTCCTACCTATGAGATTTTCCCCAAATTTCTATTCTTTCTCTAAATTATTTTCCTTCCCTAACACACACACACATACACACTCACTCACACTCTCTTCTCTCTCTCAAGCCTGGTGATGACGATGATGATTACACCCAGTGTTGGCAAGGGTTTCATGAAATAAATTATTTTATACTCTTGGAATATATGATCTTTTCAGAAAACAAAAATCTTGACCTAATCCACTTTATAGAATTAATTTTAAAGAAATATTATATTTAATGGTACAGACAAAGGTTACAAGGTTTCATCTGTATAAGAAAAAGATACATTTCAAGTGCTGGCATAGTTTCTAGTCTACTGCAATGACCCAATCACACTTCTGGAAATGAATCAGTAGAAAATAATCTAAACAGGAGGAAAAGGTTGTATATCTGAATATGTCATCACTGTAATATTATTCATAAGTAGCAGAAAACATAATCGTCTGCCAATATGAATCTAACTATATAAACCACATATCATTATAATATTATAAGACAATAAAGATTATGTAGTAATATAGAAAAATATGAAAAACAAATCAGGCCAGGCACTGTGGCTCACACCTGTAATACCAGCACTTTGGGAGGCTGAGGCAGGTAGATCACCTGAGATCAGGAGTTCAAGACCAGCCCGCCAGCATGGCAAAACTCCATCTCTACTAAAAATAAAAAGTTAGCCAAGCGCAGTGGTACATGCCTGTAATCCCACTAGGGAGGCTGAGGCAGGAGAATCGCTTAAACCTGGGAGGCCAATACAATGCCACTGCACACCAGCCTAGGTGACAGAGCAAGACTGTCTCAAAAAAAAAAAAAAAAAAAAGTAAGTCAAAAAATTAAGTCATATATTTGATTACTTTATAACATTTGCGAAAAACTGTATGAATACTGACAGCAAGTAGGATTTGAGAAAAACTAAAACATTTATAAGAGAAGTCAGGCTATGGAGTATTTTTCTAATTTAATTTGTGTCATTAATGTCATAATAATGTTCAATAAATTATGTTTTTCTTCATCTCAGGGAACACATGGTTTTTTGAACAGCAGCAAGTTGAAGGGCCAAAGCCTAGATGAGGGATCAGTCATGAAAGGCCACTCTTCTGTATTAGTAAACCCTCTTATGAGGATTGAAAGAGAAGGGCAGCCCTATCTACCTTTCCACTTTCTATTCAACTTCCACTGACCATAAAATGTTTCCCTTCTCAGCAAGCCTCATCATTTGGTGAACTTCCCCCCAAACAAAGTGGGATGGGGTAGAGGGCTAAATTAATTGGAGTGGGTCGAGGAGGGAGCCAGAAAACATAGATCTGGGGGCAGCAGTGCTGGGTAAAATTGCTGGGTAAAATTAAACGCTGGGTGGAATTACATAGATCTCGGGATAGCAGTGCTGGGAGGAATTACGTAGTTGTGGGGGCGGCAGTGCTGGGTGGAATTACACAGATCTGGGGGCGGCAGTGCTGGGTGGAATTCCGTAGATCTGGCGGCGGCAGTGCAGGGAGGAGTTACATCGATCTGGGGGCGGCAGTGCAGGGTGGAGTTACGTAGATCTAGGGGCGGCAGTGCAGGGAGGAATTACACAGATATTGGCGTGGCAGCGCTGGGTGGAATTACATAGGTCTCGGGGTAGCAGTGGAATTATATAGATCTCGGGGTCTATTTAAAAAAGTTTTAATAGACCCAAAAAAATGAAATTCCATCGTAAGAGTGTGATGAAAGGAAACTAGTAATTTGATAAATTCATAATAGCCAGTAGCTCTCATCTCTTCAGTGCTTACAAGGAATGAAGCAGTGTTCTAGGTGCTTTATACGTTTACCAACACATTACCAAACATCATTTTCTACAGTTAAAAAATCTAGTATGTGCCAGAATTAACAGATCAATAGAACAAAACAATCCTGAAACATATCATAGCATTAATAAGAACTTAATCTATAACAAAAGCAGCAGCACAAGTCAAAGGGAAAAAGAGGATAGATTTAGAAAGACAGAAAACGGTTGCTGAGAAATTCTTTGGTTTCTGATTAGCCAGGAGATTCCCCAACTCCCCTCCGCTCCACCTTAAGTAGTTTAGCAATGACCTGGGGCTCCCAGTGTTGTCAAGGGCTACGCCCATTTTCACACAATTTCACAAGACCCCAGCCCCGCATCTTGCCTTCAGGTACATATAAGAGGACTGAAGCAGCATCCTGGGGGTATGCAGCTTTGTGCTAATCAAGCGTGTCTCCCCTGGGGACAATGAAAGGTTGGGAGTCCCCACTCCATCTGCTGGCAGTCTAAATGTTTCCTGTAATTCTGATTTACCTCTGCCCCATGCTAAAGGCTTCTGATCTTGCCCTTGGTCTGCTTGACAGGTGGCAAAGTTATCCATCGGAGGAAAATTAAAATTAAATTCTTAACTTCACACTACTGACCAAATAAATTCCAAATGGATTACGTAATTAAGTATAAAAAAATTAAAACATGTAAATTACAGCTAGACAGGAGGAATAAGTTCTAGTGTTCTACAGCACTGCAGGGTGAAGATAATTAACAATTTATTGTATATGTTCAACAAGCTAAAAGAGGATTTTGAATGTTCTCAGCACAAAGAAATGATCAATGTTTGAGGTGATGGATATCCTAATTACCCTGATTTGATCATTACACATTATATTACACAGAAATATCACACTGCACCCCATAAACAGGTACAATTATGTGTCAAAATTAAAGGAAAAAATTAAAATATTTAAAGAAATATAAAATGTAGAATTAATCCTTAAATTAGGAAGAATTATCAAAGCATAAAACAATATAAGAAATTATAAAAGCAAAGTCTTTAAGCCATAAAACTACATGTCCACAAAACACTGCAAATGAGGTTCAAAAACAAATGACAAACTGAGTGAAATATTATAATAAATATAAAAGCTTAATATCATAAGTATGTATTTTTAAAGCTAATCCCTCTTTTAAAAAACACTCTAATATCCTAATTTTTACTGGGAAAATAATACGAACAGGCAACTGCCAAGAAACATAAAAAATATCTATACTGCAAGGCTACAGTAATCAAAACAGCATGGTACTGGTACCAAAACAGAGAGATAGACCAGTGGAATAGAACAGAGGCCTCGGAGGCAACGCCACACATCTACAACCATCTGATCTTTGACAAACCTGACAAAAACAGGCAATGGGGAAAGCATCCCCTGTTTAATAAAGGGTATTGGGAAAACTGGCTAGCCATGTGCAGAAAGCAGAAACTGGGCCCCTTTCCGACACCTTACACTAAAATTAACTCCAGATGTATTAAAGACTTAAACATAAGACCTAACACCATAGAAACCCTAGAAGAAAATCTAGTCAAAACCATTCAGGACATAGGCGTAGGCAAGGACTTCATGACCAAAACACCAAAAGCATTGGCCACAAAAGCCAAAATAGACAAATGGGACCTAATCAAACTTCACAGCTTCTGCTCAGCAAAGGAAACAATCATTAGAGTGAATCGGCAACCAACAGAATGGGAAAAAATTTTTGCAATCTACCCATCTGACAAAGGGCCAATATCCAGAATCTACAAAGAACTAAAACAGATTTACAAGAAAAAAACAAGCCCATTCAAAACTGGGTGAAGGATATGAACAGACATTTGACAAAAGAAGACATATATCAGGCCAACAAACATATGAAATAATGCTCATCATCACTGGTTATTAGACAAACGCAAATCAAAACCACATTGAGATACCATCTCACGCCAGTTAGAATGGCGATCATTAAAAAATCTGGAGACAACAGATGCTGGAGAGGATGTGGCGAATAGGAATACTTTTACACTGTTGGTGGGAGTGTAAATTAGTTCAACCATTGTGGAAGACAGTGTGGCGATTCCTCAAGGACCTAGAAATAGAAATTCCATTTGACCCAGCAATCCCATTACTGGGTATATATCCATAGGATTATAAATCATTCTATTATAAGGACACGTGCACACGAATGTTCATTTCAGCACTGTTTACAACAGCAAAGACTTGAAACCAACCCAGAAGCCCATCGATGATAGACTGGACAGGGAAAATGTGGCACATATACACCATGGAATACTATGCAGCCATAAAAAAACAATGAGTTCGTGTCCTTTGTAGGGACATAGATGAAACTGGAAACCATCATTCTCAACAAACTGACACAAGAACAGAAAATCAAACACTGCATGTTCTCAGTCACAGGTGAGTGTTGAACAATGAGAACATGTGGACACAGGGAGGGGAGCACCACACATTGAGGTCTGTGGAGGGGGAACTAAGGAGGGACAGCTGGGGGCACGGAGTTGGGGAGGGATAACATGGGGAGAAATGGCAGATATAGGTGATGGGGGTGGAGGCAGCAAACCACATTGCCATGTATGTACCTATGCAACAATTCTGCATGTTCTGCACATGTACCCCAAAACCTAAAACACAATTTAAAAAAAAATCTATACTACAACAAAACACTTTAATAAATCTTTAATTTCACCACAATAAGAGAAATACAAATTTAAATATAAAATTTTCATGCATCAAATTGGAAAAGTGAAAGGAAATGCAGCTATTCAAAATCACATTTTCAAACAGTACGTAAAGATTTGGGGATACTATACTAGGATATCAAAAAATGCAGAATGTTTTTTTTTTTTTTCAAATCTTATACAATGAGCATTTTTACAAACAAACAAAAAAGTTTTAATTGATCAGAAAAGTAAAATTCCATCCTAAGTATGTGATGAAAGGAAACTGGTAATTTTGATAAATTCGTAATAGCCGGTAGCTCTCATCTGAGTGCTTGCAAGGAATCAAGCACTGTTCTAGGCACTTTATACATTTACCAACATATTTAATCCTTGCACAAGTCCTCATGATAGTGTCATCCCTATTTCACAGAAGACAAACTGAGGCACAAGAAGAGAAAGAAAGTCACATAGCTGATAAGTAGAGAAATCGATTCACACACAGGCAGTCAGACTCCAAAGTCCATACCCTTCATCATCATCGTACCACACCACCTCGCCGTTAGGCCACAAGATGAATACTACACAATCATGGAAAATTATGTTATAGAAGAATATTTCATTTCCAGGAAAAAAATTCACAACATAGTAAGTGACTACAAAATTAAATTGAAATCAATAGGCAGGATAGGTGCGTGTGAGAAAGAATTTACATAAACATGTCAGAAATAATTTACTTAAACATTTGTCAGAATTTACTTAAACATTTGCCTTTGTCAGAAAGAGAAAGAAACCTCATGGATGGGCACAGTGGCTCATGCCTGTAATCCCAGCACTTTGGGAGGCCAAGGCACGTGGATCACAAGGTCAGGAGTTCGAGACCAGCCTGACCAACGTAGTGAAACCCCTGTGTCTACTAAAAATACAAAACTTAGCCAAGCGTGATGGCACATGCCCGTAATCCCAGCTATTCAGGAGGTTGAAGCAGGAGAATTGCTTGAACCCAGGAGGCGGAAGTTGCAGTGAGCCAAGATGGTGCCATTGCACTCCAGCCTGGGCAACAGAGGGAGACTCTGTCTCAAAAAAAAAATTAAATAAATAAATAAATATAAAGAAACCTCGCAGGGTTTCAAAGAAACCTCAAGAGTGCGGTCATCAAGTTGGCCTTGCTTGATTTTTCCAATTTTCCAAGTTCTTCATGTCCTCCAAAGCTCTGTACTTCCTTGATAACCAAGTCCCTCCCTCGGCCATGACACCACCAGGAGCAGGATTTAAGGGAGGTCTGCAGAGTTGAGCATGCCCCTGGTCAGAGGTTCTCTCCCAATCACTATGCTGCTGGCAGCAAGAATATAGGGCAGTCCCACAGCTCACAGCCTACTGATGAAAACACCGCTCTCATCACTATCTCCCCTCTAAAAGCCACCCAAGAGACCAGTCCCAAGAAAGACACTTTCTCAGAAACATCACCAAGGCAATCCCATCAGATGCCCCCTTTTTCACCAATCACTACCAGACAACCTCCTAAACCTTTCCATCATGGCCTCTGAAACTCATGGTTGGCTGGGCACAGTGGCTCATGCCTAAAATCCCAGCACTTTGGGAGGCTAAGGTGGGCAGATCACCTGAGGTCAGGAGGTCGAGAGCAGCCTGGTCAACATGGTAAAATCCCATCTCTACTGAAAATGCAACAATTAGCCAGGCATGGTGAAAAGTGCCTGTAGTCTCAGCTCCTTGGGAGGCTGAGGCAGGAGAATCACTTGAACCTGCGAGGCAGAGGTTGCAGTGAGCCAAGATCGAGGTACTGCACTCCAGCCTGGGTGACAGAGTGAGACTCCATCTCAAAAAAAATAAATAAATGAAATAAAACAAAATAAATAAAAAGTGAAAAGCTGTGCCTGATCTAATGCAAGGGTCTTATACTGAATTCTGTTTCCCTTTCAAATTTTTCAGGACTTTCCTCCTATAATTGCCCCCTTTCTCTCCTGCAACGTCCATTTCTCCCTCTCACATAACCTATCTCCCATCTCTAAAAGGCCGTCCCTACATCCACATGCCCCTCATTTATCACGTAAGTAATCAGGAGAAAAGTTTGACTTAACAACTGTAAAAGAGTAAAACTTGATTATTTTTAATTAATTCTTACTGAGTTAAATAATGTCAACCTTACCATATTTGGGGGCACATTTAAAGTACTGCACTTTTCCAACACTTCCATTATTTTTTCCTTCCGGTTCATCCAATTCAATGCCAGCCCACTGCCCACTTGCAAATTCAGTGGTTCCACAAAATCTTAATGTACCAACCTAAAGAAAATATAAATCAGAATAACTTTGGGGAATTATTAGTAATTCCAAGTGTCCTACTCTTGCAACTTCACTTCACCATGAAAGTGTTTAAAAATTCACTCTCTCAAAGTGAATTTAAAGAATTTGCTCTCTCAACATTATCCTTGGTAACATTCCTTGCTCTCAAGTGAGAGCTCACTTAAGTGGTCAGAGAGCTCACTTCAGAGCAAGGAACATTACCAAAAATAAAAAGGAACATTAAATAATAAAGGAGACAATTTCCAAGAAGACATAAGAATCCTAATTAGCTGGATAGTAGCACACGCCAGTAGTTCCAGCTACTCCAGGGACTGAGGCAAGAGGGTCGCTTGAGCCCAGGAGTTCGGGACAACAGTGAGCTATGACTGTGCCACTGCACTCCAGCCTGGGCTACAGAGTGAGACTCCATCTTTAAAAAAAAAAAAAAAAAAAAATTGGGGCATAACCATGTTGGGAAATTCAACATCCAGGCAGGAAGTCCCTGTTCCATTCTCCATACCAAGCTCCCTATTAACCTCTATACTAAGAAAAACCAAGAAAACCTCCCATATGAGGTATTTTTAAAAAGAAACTGGCAATAAATGATGCAATATGGAAACGAAAGCTTGGGAGGAAAAAGGGGTGTGGATGATGGGAGCAGGATTCATCCTCTTCTCCACATAAATCCTTCTCACCAGGTTATATAGTATCTCAGATTGCCCTATTTGTGGAGAACTCAAAGACAAATACCCACAAACAGCAAAGGTGCCTTGTGTTCAATTTCTATGGAGTAGCAGCAGTCAGAGAAGCAGCACTGGGGGAAGATGGGGACTGCAAAGAAAATCCTCCACCCTAGACCATCCCTCAGCTCCTGCCTGTAAATGCGCTCCAGAGTTCTACTCCACTCCATTCTATTCAAATAAACATGTCTTCATTATTAAGTTCTGGTAGTTTATATTCTTAAAGCATAACTTAAGAGTAAATTTGTATCTAAGTTTTACATTTTCCATTAAGCATCTTTCTACCTACATGTTGAACCTTTTTTAAAAAACTTAAAACACTGACCATACTGTATGCACCCTTGAACACAGGTCATGGACACAGTGACCTTGGCTTTAGAGACTGCAGTTACTTACTGTACCTTCTGTCCTGCAATAACAACACGGTCCCCCAACTTCAGGCCAAGTGACGTAAGCATTGCCTTGCCAGTGACGTGATCATAATTTGGAAGCATGGCCTTTGAGATGTTACACGACAGAGGCACCGCATCTAGGAGCATCTGCTTGATTTCCTTAGCAGTGGCGGCAGCATCAGCCATCTCCAACGGCATATCTACTGGGTCCGGAACAACATCAGCAGGGATCTGTCCTTTGTCATTCTACAAATAAAGGTGAGAGAAAATGTTCAACTCTTATTTACTTAGATCACTAGAAAGTCATATAAAATTTCTGTTGGAGGAATTTTACATTAAATTCATTCATTATTTCTTTATTCAAAAATATTTCCTGAATACCTACAATATGCAGGCACCATTCTAGGTGCTAAATAAAGATCCCACAGCGAAGAAAACACAAGCCCTGCCCTTAAGGAATGTTACATTCTGGTAGGAGAGACACGTCACACAACATTAAACAAGTAAATTATATGTGAGAAAATAAACAGTCATAAGTGGCTAGGAGGAAAAATAAAAGAAAGCAGGCAAGGGGAATAGGAAATGTAGAGACAGAGATGGTTCTAGGGGAAACTCTTTAGGTTAATTTGTAGAGGAAACTCTTTAGGCTAAGTGGTGAGGAAGGCCGCACTGATGAAATGCATCTCCACAGAGATCCAAAGCAGGCCAGGGAGGAGCCGAGCAGGTTCTCTGGCAGGAAAAACCACTGCATCCGCATCCATGGGGAGGAGCAGTGCTCAGGTCCTAAGCGGAGAGCACCCTGCCAGCACAGGCATGAGAAGGCGAGCTTGGAAACAGAAGCCACAGGACTGACCGGCTTCCCAGCCCCAGTCCACGGTTCCAGAGCTGCTGTGCTCCTGGCTCTGCGACCTCAGCCCCCTGGCTACTCATGGGGTAATTCAGATTTCAAAACTAGAAACTATGGTTTTGATACTTCTAAAACCTGGGCTATAATCAAGAAAAAAAAAACTCTGTTTTCACTACAACGGAAAGACTGTATCCTGGGATTTATCCTGTGACAAAATAAAATGGCCAGCGACCACCTCACTGTCATTTGCAATGGTATCTGTATCATCGAAGCCCTATCACGTAAATTATCTGTCATCTTACATTCCCTAACCACAAACCTTAGACTTCATGAGAAATAATCTAGATTGTAATCTTCTTTTAATATAAAGAATGAAGATACTTTCGTTAACTGAGAAACTTTTTTCCTTTTCTTCACTGATGATAATCTTCTTCAAACGATCCATGTGGAAAAATGAATGAGGCTCTTAGAATACACTTAGTTTGCAATTGCTTCACATTTTTTTTTTGTTTTAAAATTCAAGTCAGGTTGGTCCTTAGTAAAAATATGGCAAGAAGATATGTTATCAGATTTCTAGGATAGTAATGGACTCTTTTAATCCCAGATTCCAAGAAAACATACAAAATATAATAAAGATATGTGTTATACTAATGTATACTCTCTAAAAACACACTCAGGCTGATAAGTTGTAAGTTATGCTTACATACAATTCCCATATAATTCAGCAATCAAAACTTCTGTTAAAATCTTAATAGTGAGAATAAAATTAAAACGGTATCTTCCTAACATAAGAAGGTTAATTCATGATCTATTGCAGAATTCTATTTTCTTCTCAAGTGGTGGCATACCACCAGACTGGCCATACAAATGATGATTAAGGGAGTTCTACACATGGAAATAAAATACTACTACTTGCTGTCAAAAAAGCACATAAGCACAGTCTATGGTCTCCATAAAGCAACTACACAATTGAGACTACAAAGCAACTAGCTAACAACACAACAACAGGAACAAAACTTCACATATCAATATTAACCCTAAAAAGATTAATAAAAGATGATCAAGGGAACTCTAAACATGGAAACAATAATACTTGCTGTCACAAAAAGCATGTAGTCTATAGACTCCACAAATCAAGACTAGAAAGTAGCTAAAAACACAACAACAGGAACACAACCTCACACATCACTATTAACCCTGAACATAAACAGCCTAAACACACCACTCAAAAGACACAAAGTGGCAAATTGGATTTAAAAAAAAAAAAAAAAAAAAAAAAAGACCTGTCCTTCTGCTGTCCTCAAGATACCTATTGCACATGTAATGACACCCATAAGCTCAAAGTAAAAGGCTGGAGAAAGATCTATCATGCAAATGGAAAACAAAAAGGAGCAGGGTGTCACTATTCTTTTATCAGATAAAACATCAAGCCAGTAACAATCAAGAGGGACAAAGTAGGGAATTACATAATGATAAAGGGTTCAATTCTACAAGAAGACTTAACTAACCTACATATACACACACCCAACAATGGAGCACCGAAATTTATAAAACAATTAGTAATAGACTTGCAAAAAGACTTAAGACTGTCACATAATAACAGCAGGTGACTTCAACACCCCACTGAAAGCATTAGACAGGTCATCAAGGCAGAAAACAAAGAAATTTTAGACTTAAATACAGCACTTGATCAATTAGACATAATAGGCATCTAAAGAATACTCCACCCAACAGCCACAGAATATAAATTCTGTTCTCATTTGCACATGGAACATACTCAAAGACTGACCAGGTCATAAAGCAAGTCTCAACAAATTCAAAAACATCAAAATCATACCAAGCGTCTCTTGAACCACAGTGGAATGAAAACAGAAATCAATACGAAGAAGAACTCTCAAAATTAAACAAATACATGCAAACTAGAAAACTTGCTCCAGAATGACTTTTGGATAAACAATGAAATTAAGGCAGAATTCAAAAAATCCTTTGAAACAAATGAAAACAGAGACAAAGTATACCAAAACCTCTGGGATAGCAAAAGTAGTGTTAAGAGGAAAGTATCAAAATGCCTGTATCAAGAGAGATCTCAAATTAACAACGTAACACTGCGCCTAAGGCAACTAGAAAAATAAAAACTAAACTCAAAGCTAATTGCAGAAGTAACTACAATTGGAGTACAACTAAGTGAAACTGAAACCAAGAAAAGCATTCAAAGGATAAGCAAAATGAAAAGGTGGTTCTTGGAAACCACAGGATTGAGAGACTGCTAGCTAGATTAACAAAGAAAAAGAAAGAGAAGATCCAAATAAGCACGATCGGAAATATTAAATGTGGCATTACAACCAATCCCACAGAAATGTAAAATATTCTCAGGGACTACTGTGAATACGTCTATTCACACAAACTAGAAAATCTAGAGGAAATGGATAAATTCCCAGAAACACACAACCTTCCAAGAACCTGGAAGAGAGTGAAACCCTGACCATACCAACAATGAGTTACAAAATTGAATCAGTAATAAAAAACCTACTATCCAGAAAAAGCCCTGTACCAAAGGGATCCACAGCCAAATTCTACCAAACGTACAAGGAGGAGCTGGTAACAATCCTACCAAAATGATTCAAAAAAAACCAAGGAGGAGTGATACCTCCCTAATTCATTCTATGAAAGCAGTATCATCCTGATACCAAAATCTGGCAGAGACACAACAGGAAAGAATACTACAGGCCAATAGCCCCGATAAACACAGACACAGAAATCCTCAAGTTACTAGCAAACCAAATTCAGCAGCATAACAGAAAGATAATTCACCATGACAAGTTGTGCAAGGAGGTTCAACATATGCAAATCAATAAACATGATTCACCACATAAAATTAAAAACTGTCTGATCATCACAATAGACACAGAAAAACAATCAATAAATTCCAACACCCCTTCATGATAAAAAAAAAAAAAACCTTCAACAAATAAGGCATTGAAGGAATATATCTCAAAATAGTAAGAGCCATCTATGACAAACCCACAGGTAACGTCATACTGAATGGGCAAGTTGGAAACATTCCTTCTAAGAACCGGAACAAGACAAGAACGTCCACTCTCACTATGCCTATTCAACATGGTACTGGAAGTCCTAGCCAGAGCAATCAGTCAAGAGAAAGAAATAAAAGGCGTCCAAATAGGTAAAGAGGAAGTCAAATGATCTCTCTTCACCAACAAGATGATTCTATATGTAAAAAATTCTGAAGGCTCTGCCAAAAAACTCCTAGACCCAATGAACAACTTCAGTAAAGCTTCAGGACAAAAAAAATCAATACACAAAAATCAGTAGCATTTCTATACACCAGTAACACTCAAGATGAGAGCAAAATCAAGAACACAATTCCATTTACAATAGCCACAAAATGATAATAAAAATACAGAGGGATATATCTAACCAAGGAGATGGAAGATCTCTATAATATCTATTAAACACTGCTGAGAGAAATCAGAGACAACACAAGCAAATGTGAAAACACTCCATGTTCACGGACTGGAAGAATCATAGCCTTAAAGTATCCACATTGCCTAAAGTAATTCCTAACAAACTTCCAACATTGTTTTTCACAAGATTAGAAAAAACTGTTCTAAAATTCATATGGAGCCGAAACAAAGAGAGCCCAAATAGCCAAAGCAATCCTAAGCAGAAAGAACAAAAGCCAGAGGCATCCCATTACCTGACTTCAAATTATACTACAAGGCTACAATAATCAAAACAGTAATGATATTGCTACAAATTAGATATATACGCCAATGAGACAGACTAGAGATCACTGAAATAAAGCCACACACTACCAACTGATATTTGACAAGACTGACAAAAATAAACTGTAGGGAAAGGCCACCCTACTCATAAATGGTGCTGGTAAAACTGGCTAACCATATGTAGAACAATGAAACTGGACCCCCACTACTCACTATATACAAAAATTAACTCAAGATAGATTTAAAACTTAAATGTGAGACCTCAAAGTACAAAAATCCTAGAAGAAAATCTGGGAAATACTCTTCTAGACATTGGCCTAGGCAAAGAATATATGACTAAGTCCTCAAAAGCAAAGGCAACAAAAACAAAAATTGACAAATGGGACCTAAAACTAAAGAGCTTCTGCAGAGCAAAAGAAACTACCAACAGAGTAAAGAGACAACCTACAGAATGGGTGAAAATACAAACTATGTATCCAACAAAGGACTAATATCCAGAATCTATAAGAAAGGTAAACAAACCAACAAGAAAAAAACAACCCCATTATAAAGTGGCAAAGAACATGAACAGACATTTCTCAAAAGAGGACATATAAGCAATCAACAAATATAAAAAATGTTCTACATCACTAATCATCAGAGAAATGCTAATCAAAACCGCAATGAGATTCTATCTCACACCAGTCAGAATGGCCATTATTAAAAAGTTAAAAAAATAACATGTTGGTGAAGTTGTGGAGAAAAGGAACATTTATACACTGTTAGTAGGAATGTAAATTGGTTCAGCCCCTGTGGAAAGCAATGTGGAAGTTTCTCAAAAAAGTAAAAACAGAATTACCATTTGACCTAGCAATCCCATTACTAGGTACACACCCAAAGGAAAATAAATCATTTTACCAAAAAGACATTGCACCCATATGTTTTTCACAGCATGACGCATAATAGCAAAGACATGGAATCAACCTAGGTGTTCATCAATGGTGGACCGGATAAAGAAAATGTGGTACATATACACCATACTACATAGTCATTTAAAAAATGAAATCATGCCCTCTGCAATGGAATGGATGCAGCTAGAGGCCATTATCCTAAGCACATTAATGCAGAAACAGAAAACCAAATACTGCATGTTCTCACTAATAAGTGGGGGCTGAACATTGGGTACACACAGACATAAAGATGGGAACAACAGGCACTGGGGACTCCAAAAGATGGGAGGAAGAGTGTGAGGGAAGGAGGTGGAGAAGGGCTGGGCCAAGGGCTGAAAAAGTACCTACTGGGTTCACTGTCTGGGTGAGGCATCAACAGGAGTTCAAACCTCAGCACCAGGCAATATACCTGTTTCACAAACCTGTACATATACTCCCTGAATCTAAAATTTAAAATTAAAAAATAAGATGGCGGCTTATCAAAGTATGGTCTCAAGACTACTGCTGACTCACATGTTATTGCTTTTTTTTAAAGTAGTTATTTTCAAAATATGGCAACCTATTAATCTATTTCTGGCCTAAATTGGTAATTTAGCTCAATAACAGATCTCATGGCATCCTAATAAATTCAAACAACACTAATGGGGCTGATTGACACTAATGACACTGAATTGTCCCCACTAATGGGGCTTTGTCAGCAGCTGCACCAGCAAAAGCAAACACATCCCTTTCGCCTTCCAGCTGGACTGAACGATCATCTCCTAGGCTTCTTGCATGCTAGTCTCTCTGCTTTCCTCACCTCCCTCCAGTACCTGGTTAATACTCCCCTATGTAAGCACTCGCTTTCAATGTCACCCCTGATGAAGCCTTGGGAAGATGACTCTATGGCCCTCTGCCAACCCCCACCCCATTGTGTCACACTGAATTAGCACACTACAGTAAAACTGACTGCTTCCTTGTCCCACCTCCCCTCTGCAATACATTCTTTTTGAGGGCAAGAGCTTTATCTACATTATTGTAGTATTCTCCCAGTGCCCAATAAACAATAGAGTCACAAGGAAGGGAGGGAGGAAGAGAAGAAATTAAAAGTTGGGGGGTAATCAAGGGGGTTAAATGAAAGAAAACTGGCAAAGAAGTAGGGAAAATGGGAAAAATAGGAAAGGGAAAAGAAGACAAGTGTTTTCAAATACTGCACACTATCCACCGCCTACACCCACCCCCTTCAAGGGAAAGTATGACATAATTAAGAACACCTGCCAGAGCAAGTTATTGTTATTAATATAAAGAATGTGAAAACTGAGAACCACTTTCTCAAAAAAAAAAAAAAAAAAAAAAGGATCTGAAGATGATGAAATTCAGTCCTGTGTAACTCTGTAAATTGGTGAAATTTCACTATTTAAAAAAATACACTTTTCCTTTCCAAAAAATTTGAAATATGATTTAACAGAAAAACTTTAATATATGTATTTGTACAGCTAACTTTTCACAAATACATCAAAATCCTAAATGAAAGATACTTAAACTCAAAGATTATGACAGTTTAAGGAAGATTTTAGTTTCCTGAATGGAAGTTACCAATATAAAAGAAAATTTATCATTATACCTTAAATTTATTTACAATAAAGATCATCATCACTCTCAACATGTAGCACAAAGATATAAATTACTTGCTCATATAAGAGTTCTTCTATTAATAACAACATTCAGATTCAACACTTTACCAGAAAGCAGGATAAGACTTCTTAATTCTTTTAAAATATTTCACTTTTAATTTAACCTCTTACCCTAAATGCAGGATTTGCTCCTTGCTCCAAGAGGCACTTCACAGCACCTGCACACAAGTTGTACGCTGCAATATGCAAAGCTGTTCCAAAATTAAAATCACTGCAAGTGGCATCCACATCTGCAATTAAACATCACAAGTGCATTAGCTAAAATTTTAAACTTAGCTATTATAATTTAAAAGAGGACAGGGTTTTGGAGGAGGGGCTTTTATTATTTATGAGACTTAAATCAACCCACTAGAAGCACGATTTCACAATAGAACAAAGTCTTTATATTACAATCTAGTTAAAATAAGCAGTTGATTATTTTCTTAGTAAAAAAAATTCATTATAAGATGGGGTGATATCTTGGGTTTTCAAACTAGAATGAACTAAAACATACTTTAAAACAATTAATGGCAATAATCTGCATTTGTAAAAGTAACAGCTTATCACAATCTCCCATTAAGCCTGTTGTATATTAGCCATGACGACTACAGTGAGGTAGAGTAGCAGAGTTTAGTTCAGGGGTCAGCAGCCTATGACCCACAAGGCAAATCCAACCCACCTGTTTTTATAAAGTTTTATTGGAACACAGGCACTGTCATTCATTTACATATCCTCTGTGGCTACTTCCATGCCACAATTATGAAACTGAGTAGTTTCATCAGAGACTGGGTGGTCCCAGTTTAAAATATTTACCAGCTGGCCCCTTACAGAAAAAAATGGCCAACACCTGGTAGGTAACACAAAGCAGAATTTTCAAAGTCTAAGCACAGAAATGCTTATCGATAAATTCATAAATTCATAAAACTCTACTGAATAAATGAATTTGATTTTCATAATGAGTAATTTTGCAACTCTAAGGACATTTTAATAACTTCTAATATAGTATCATATGTTATACTTAAATACAGCAAATCCTCCAGGTTTGGGAATCCCATCTTGAATATTTTTGATAACAGGGGTTTAAATATACCTCTGGTTCTGCAAATCCTACCCTCAACTAAATGACACCACACCCACACACCCTTCCTACAACTGCAAACAACCCAGATATGCTAAGGACAAACTCTCTTGAATTATTAAAGACACAGTAGTGTTGACAGAGGCTTTATTCCCAACATTATTCAGAAAGTGAAAAGGTAGAATTTTAAAGAGAAAATGGACAACTATACAGATTAGAGGTTAGAAATGAACATTCTGGGAAAGTCATCTGTTGAAGCTCTAAAGCATGTTCCTACAATGGGGAAAATGTTGTACACTTTCTTTAACTTGAAGTTAATACAATTTGCTTGCTCTCATATTTTTCTAAAAAAACAAAGAAAAGAAAATTGGCCCCCAAGGGGAGAACCAGAGAGAAAATCAAAATACCAGGACTGTGACTCAGACATTTAGATCTTCGATTTCAGGATATCACCATCAAGACAGGGGAAAAAAACTGAAATATCCCTTAAGTTGAATTATGTAATTTCAGGACCAAATACCACCTAAAATAAATAACATGTATTATCCCAATGCCAATCTCTGAAGACCTTAATGTTCTATTTCTGGCTACCCAAGCAAGGCAAAAGAATCATAAAGCATGTAAAATCAATTATATAAAACATCTGTGTTATACTGGAGAACTTAGAGATATAAAAACCCAGAGAACACTCTTTCATTTTGTATTGCTCTGTACTAATCCTTTCATAGAAAATATAGTAGTTAATACTCAGTAAAGAAATTTTAAACTATCTCAGAAATAAAATGGAGTAGAAAGGCATATGAAACAAGATGGATTCAAAGTAAAAATCTCCTTGAATTATAATTTTTATGCCACCATTAAAGTGTTCAGTTAGTAACATCTAAAGGTGATCTTACAAAACTTGCCTTTTGGTTTCGATGTTTTCAAAATCACTCCTATAAGTTCTGGGACATCAAAATAAGCAGCATAATGCAAAGCATTCATGTTTGTCCAGCGACTCCGCAAACTAATGTCTGCTCCCAGGTCAATAAGTTGAGTTGCAAATTTGACAGCTGTTTCCACATCACCTAAAGAAGATTTTCTAAATTATTTTCCTTTAGTACAAATTTTAAGTTCCAACGGATGGCTATCTATTACCTCATTTAAAAAGCCAAAGAAAACAACACTGTATAGGCACACCTCAAAAATTTCACTTTCAAAAATGTATTCTCAGGGATGCGGATAAACACTTGGCTATAAAGATGCTCATCACTGCACTGTTAATATAATTCTGAGAAATCCAAAAAGTGTAATAAGAAATTGGTTAAATTGAGACACACATAGAATACTATGAAGCCATCAACCGCAACACAGTGGATCAGTGCTACTCAAAACGTAACAAGGGATTTGATTACTCAGTGGGACTGTGGACCACTGGCAGTCCCAAATCGCAATCTGTGTGTACTTTTTATAGCTTTTCCCCGTCTAATATTTCTTCTCATTATGTTAACTCAAATGTAGTCTTACGCCTTTTCTTCCTTCTTCTTTTTTAGAGACAGAGTCTTGTTCTGTCACCCAGATTGGCATGTAATGATGCAATCACAGCTCATGCCAACTGTGAACTACCAGGCTTACACGGTCCTCCCGCCTCAGCCTTGCAAGTAGCTGAAACTCTGGGAGCGTACCAACACGGTTGGCTAATTTTTTGACTTTCAGTACCAACAAGGTGTCACTAGGTTGCCTAGGCTTGTCTCAAACTCTTGGTCTCAAGAAATCCTCCTGCCTTGGCCTCCCAAGGTGTTGGGATTATGAGTGTAAATCATCAATGCCTGGCCAGTTGTAGGCCTTTTGAAAAATATTTGGGCTTACAGTTTATGGCTTTTTTATTTTGTATTATAAATTCATTTTTATTTTATTTTGTAAAAGTATCAGCCCATGACGGGTCATGAGGGAAAAAAAGGAGTCCTTCACCACAAGTGGTTTCAGCACCACCACATCAGACTATCGAAACAAGCAGAGACTATCACAACATACAGCTAAGTAAGACAAGGTTTATAAAATGACAAAGCCCAAGACAATAACAATTTTGGAAAATATGCACATGTTACATACATAAGAATAGACCTTAGGTCTCAAGACTGGGGTCTTGAGATCAAGGATGCATAGGCAAAGACTGACCTTGGACTGTCAAACCTTGTTATAAACCCTCGGAAAGATTGTAGGGTGTTAGCAGTTACTCTCATCTAATAGGCAATCAGGCATGAGGCCCATTCCAGAAAAGCTGAGAGGTATCAGGAGGGTATAAAGACCTCCTTGAGAAAAGGGAATACAGTTTTTGGAAGGACCTAACTGAGTCCTCAACTCTGCGAGTAATATCATTATCAGCTGGGTGCCTTCCCAGGGACAATATATGGACACAAATATATGAGCATAAATATAGGTTATATTAGCACAAATGTAGATGATATAAGCAATTAATAAATTTTCCATATACTTACCAATACCATGAGCTCCAGATTTGCAGGTATAATGTAAAAGAGTCATATCTGTCAATCCATCTCTATCGTTCACATTGCAACCTCTCTTAAGAATCTGAAGCAGTCAAAGAAAATATGGTTACAGCTTAACTACTGAGGTACCTATTGCTTTCAAACCAATGCTGAGGAACCAAGTTAGTCTATCGTATCTGAATTACTTCTCAGTAAAATGTATAGACAGTATTGACATTGCTTAAGAGTAAATTTTAAATGTGCACTCAACAATAATGAAAACTGAACTTGTCACCAGGCTGAAGGAAATTCTTGAAGATTATTCCAAGAGTAATCTGGCACCCCAAATATGTTCCTCTCAAAAATGAGCAAAATTTTATTTCTATGAATGTAATGATGCTTGAAAAAAGTATAAGCACTCTCCTCCTCCAACATAGCAACATGCTGGTCAAGGAACCCTCTCTCAAAAAACCTAGTATTTTTAAAGGCTACATTCAAGCCTGTATCTTTGCCAAACCACCCAAAAGTGTACATAGAACATGATGGTAATCAAATCTCTTCATGAAATGTATAAAGGTTTGCAAAATTAATTTTTAAATGAAGGAAATAGGAAAAATGGCCCTCCCTGCACCCACCAAGTCTATAAATGTCAGAAGTACAGAGCATGAAGAAATAATCAGTTATACTATGTACACATAGTATTAACTCACTGCCTCATGAAAATCCTGGAAATACAAATAAATATCAGAACCTTTAAAGGTTCTCCTTTATCACCATCTTCCTTTCAGATGGGGAAAAAATCTATACCACTAAAATACTAACAACGCAAAACTTAAAATGTAAGAATTCCTTACCTCATTTCCAATAATGTCAATGTTTTGTTGGACCTGAGGAACCCACTGTCTTAAAATGGCAAATAATTCTGAGACTGAAGTTTTGGGATCAAAAAGAATTTCCTGGCATGATGCATCATTAGGATCAAAGAAAGAAAACTCTGAAATTTAAAAAGGTATAATAAATTAACCTTACTAGAAGTTTCAAATAAATATACTGAAAATAATAAACAGACCAAGGTTCAAATGATACAAATATTTTTAGATGCTAAGAAAAAAAAAAAAGAAGTATCTAAATGAGGAAAATATTAACGCACATTTGCTGAGCACTTACTAAACACTTTAAAAGTTCTCACCAACACCTTACCTGGCAGGTATTATTCTCATGTTGCGCGTGAGGAAAGCAAAGCTCGGACCAAATAATACCAGCTTGATGTCACACAGCTGGCAAGCAGCAAATCTGGGGTAGAAAGCCAGGTCTGTCTCGAAAGTCTATCCTCTTTCCTCTATAACTGTACTTGCTGAGGTAACTCACCACTGAGCTCAGATTGTAACAGCATGCGTAAGTAGTGGGACTCATGGGGTTTGTTTTTGCTTTCTTCTTTGCATTTACATCTTTTCCAAAATTATACTACGTACGCATAGTTCTTACTTTTAGAGTCAGGATAACTAAAAGATGAAAGGAGAGGCACCAATCTAAAGACATGTACATAGCAGAGCAGCAGTCCATCAGGAGAGAATCAGAAAGACTAAAACTGGAATGATACTCTTAGACAACAAAACGGTCCTGTTAGGCAAAAATCAAAATAGATGCCAAGACAAGCCTTGGCCTCTGAGCCAATGTCCCACACCCAGCTCAGGAAAAACTCTTAAAGACCTATTTTCCAAAATACCTAAACTGTACTTGAAGCTTGAGTTTCATTTCTCGGTCAGCATGACTCAGCACGTTGTAGCAAATCAGTAACGACCAAACTAACCCACTCATTCTAACTAATGAGAATTAAGCTATATGAATTTCTTCTTCTAGGCTTTATAAGCCTTACTATGACCTTCGTGAGACAAGCTTCTTAGCATTTTTGGTTTGGAAGTCTCCCTGTTCGCAGTTTATTACTCGCTTAATATTTATATTAAGAAAAGCATCCTGAATTTTCTTTCGACAGTTTTTGGTGTCAGAAGCAGGATCAGAAGACCCCCAACAAGCCCAAGGCCATTGAGTAACTAGGCAGTGGTACCCAGGGTCACGGCACTCATTGCTTTCTCACCCAGCCATGGAGTTCTAAAGTAAGTCTCTCTTGGATCTGAACTCTCCAATTATGCTCAGCAACCTTTGCTGAAATTTCTCAGGACGTCACCCTATTCTGCTCAAAAGGGAGAAGGGTGAAACATAATTCCCTGTGTTCTGGAACAGTTGCTGAAAAAAAAATCTCTAATAGTTAAGACCTGTCAGAGACACTAATGTAAAGATGGGGTCCAAACACAAAGGTGGATCAGAATCTTGTGCCTTTTTGGAAAAATGGGTGAACTTTACAAAGAATAATTTGGAATTTCAGTGACCACTTTGGAGAACCTTTAATTTAGGTAAGATAGTCAGTCTGTCTTTGTGAGTGCCTTTGAAAAAAGAGTATCCTAAACCTTTCAGAGACAATGGAATACATTCTTTGATTTGTATGCAGAAGCTTATGAACACAAAATAACTCAAAAATAGCTTCTCTAAAAGAATCCCTACAGTATTCAAATTAAAAAATCTTCAGTAAGAAGCTGTAGCCTTCTGAGCAGTTAACCTTGACTTGTTCCATCTGTCCAGTTTGGATCCAGCTTCTTTTATAAACCAGTCAGCTTTGTATTATTTTAATCGACATGTGGCTAAAATTGGGAAATGAAAGTTATAAGATCTCTGTGTCTGTCTGTATACATAAACATACAGACACAGATCTTATAGCTACGTCTATTCAATAGATATAAGTAAACCAAGTGCTTATATAAACTAAGTATTCCTGAAAACTCTCAGAATAGGAACTAATCCAAATGCTTTTCAAGTTCATGTGACTTGGGTAATCTTCAATAAACAAAAACATTGTTGGTTTAGTTTAAAAAGCCAATATGCTTTCAGAGTTGTAAGCGTTACACATAAGGCAGACCTTCAGCTTTCATTTTACATAGGTTAACTAGTCAAATAAGCTCATGGTAAAAACAAGTGAATTACAAATAAGCTTCTGCTATCTCTATGTTACAAAATTTCTCAGCAAGAAAACATGAGGCTTAGCTATTTAATGTCTCATGACATTTTTGTAATCCAAGCATAATCGTTAAAAACAAGTGAATTAAATCAATGTAAGTCCACGTAAGATAAATACTGAAACATTAATTGCTGAATGTAAGTTTATCTACTTTTGGACAGAGAAACTAAAGATACTTGGGTCTGTTAGTAAACACGTCTTGTGCTACATTGAAAAATTATAAGGAAACATGTGCTTCTAGAAATTATGGTGTATTCACAGACTTCCCAATCTACAGAATGCTAGTGTGACAGTCAAGAAAAGATATGAGGTATGAAGATATGTTTTTTGTTGAAAAAGAAAATGAAGGAAAAAACAAAATGGCTATAGGAAGTTGAGAAGAGGGAGAGAGAGAATCTCGTGAGATCAAGCTGGCTAAAATTGAATGAATCTATTATTATTCATATCAAAATAGTGCATAACTAGCATTTGAGCTCCTGTTAAAATGACTAAACTTTCTTGGAGTATAGGCCTGCTCTTGACGGAAGTTTGTGAAAGGTTTTTCAAAATCATTTCACTTTTGAATGGTCTGCCTAGAAAACAAGGATTCTGTGTTTTGCAAGGATAATTTCCTGTGCTTCACGTTGTCCTTGATTATTTAAGCTTCTCTCTCAAAGAGTCAACTTGGGTTTTTGGGTTTTTTTGTTTGTTTGTTTGTTTGTTTGTTTTTTTAAACAACTACATGGCTTTCTGTATTTGCCTTTGAAATCCTTGTCACTCTGGTTAAATGGATAACTAAATACATGTAATCCTATTTATTCAAGTGTTTTGAATCTTTTGGGCTTTTTAATATAAACTTCCCAAAAATCACATTCTGAATGATGTCTTTCTGACCTTAGACTAACTCTGTGATTCTTCAGAGGCCCTTGAATAGAAATAGAAAATCTTGTTCTATTTCTCAAAAAAAAAAAAAAAAAAAAAAAGACATTAAACTAATTTCACATCTTTGCATGGGAAGCATTGTCAAATAAATGTGAAACTAGGCTTATTCAATGTTACAATGCATGAGAAGCATTGTCAAAGGTGCTGCTTAACCTTCCTTATGTTATTTTTGTATTAATATATCATTAAGTGTTCTAGAAACTGTATGAAATTCCTAGAAACTGGATATGTTCTGATATAATTTTATCAGTCATAATTCCAGTTATCTTCATATGTTATAAAATAAGTAACTAAATTTCCTTGTCAATTTCATTATAACAAACTCTCATCAAATCTGTAGCTACGGGCATTTTAAATCTTTTGTCATCTACAAACAGTAATTTTTTACTCTGATATTTTCCTGAAAGCTTTTGCAAGCATCTATGATACAAAATTGCAGGAAGATTTATGGAAAAGACTCTGACAAGTACAGGCTTCTGATAACTTTAAGATAACAGCATTGGACTGGGTAAGAATTTCCAGAACTCTAATGGAAAACCAATGGATTCATGAGGCTGTTAACCCAAAATCAAGAATTACAGGGGACTGAATGAACTGATGAAGGTGATTACAATTTTTATGTCTTTGAAATATTGCAGGTTCTTTAATGGTTGTTTTCCAGATTTAAAGAATTCCTTTTCTCTTTTCCCTAAGACCTACAACTTAATTTGGTGAAGTACACTTTTGTAAACAAAAATGAAACACATACACTTTTTCCCCTATCCCAACGCCTCCATAATTCAGAAACTGAGTGTTCTTCATTTTCATGGCAATATAAGTATTTACATAAGTTCAATAAGAATTTGTTTTCCATGTAACAGGACACAACTGGGCAAGTCCTCTGCTTGGCTTCTTAAACTGAAAAGGCTTTTAAAACTCTAATTTCAGATTCCTTATTACCTACCAGACAGTTTTAAGGAACTCAGGTTAACTTTACAAAACCAATAAAACAGTTTCCCTAAGATATTATCGAACCCCTGACTGGAATGGCATACTTGAGAATGAGCACATATTTACTATTCTTGTTTCACTTACGTATATAATCAGGTCAACTTAATGAGACTAAACTTATTTTGCAAACAAATCAGCCTGTGATTATCTTTGCTAGACATGGGGAACTGTAGAGAGAAAAACTGTGGATATACTCTAAGTATATCCATTATTGGATTCTAGTCCTGTTGATTGTCTTTGTGGTGTTGTTATCCACCTGTAAACTGGAGTGGATCCTGAATTCCTTGTTTCCTCCAATATCTGGTTACAATATCTCCAAACTAATGATTCCAATTTCTTAAAACTATCCTTGGCTGAGTGTGGTGGCTCACGGCTGTAATCCCAGCACTTTGGGAGGCAGGTGGTTCACAAGGTCAGGAGTTCAAGATCAGCCTGGCCAATACGGTGAAACCCCGTTTCTACTAAAAATACAAAAATTAGCCTCATGTGGTGGTGCATGCCTATAATCCCAGCTACTCAGGAGGCTGAGGCAGAAGAATTGCTTGAACCCAGGAGGCAGAAGTTGCAGTGAGCCGAGATCACGCCACTGTACTCCAGCCTGGGTGACAGAGCGAGATTCCATCTCAAAAAAAAACTGTCCTTTTCCCCCAAGCCCTACTAGATGATTTTATGTAAACTTTAGACAAATCACCACCACGGCTCACATAAGGAACCTTTGTGCCTGTTTCTATGGGGGCCATTCAGAGAATTCACAGAAACATCTGATAACATCAACCAAGACATTCAAAGTGCAACCAGGAAAGTCCATCAGCTAGAAACTGCCATCCTCATCTCAGTATCTCAAGATGCTCTGAGAGCAAATCTGGAAATTTTCGGAATGTGCTGCTCTCCAGATGGCTCATTTAAATAATAACAAGTTGGATTTATTAAGTGCCTTGTAGATACCAGGGACTATTCTATGAACTTTGTGATTATTAATTTATTTAATCCTCATAACTACCATATGAGGTAGGCACTTTTGTTATTCTCATTTTATAGAAGAAGAAACAAAGGGATAGAGAAAATAAGCAATTTGTCCAAAATCACACAACTGGAAAGTTACTGAGTCAGGATTAAAGCCAGAATAGCCCAGAATGACCTCTAAGATACAATGCAATATAGTAATATATCTAACGACATTTCCATTTTCAACTTCATACAGGAAAACATTTTTTATATTGTTACAAGCTTTTGAGAGCTAAAAAAAGTTTTTATTTTTATTTTTTTGGGGGGCACAGAGTCTCACTCTGTCACCCAGGCTGGAATTCAGTGGCCAGTCTCATTGATCTCGGCTCACTGCAAAATACACCTCTCAGGTTCAAGCAGTCTCCTGTCTCAGCCTCCCAAGTAGCTGGGATTACAGGCACGCACCACCACATGAAGCTAATTTTTGTATTTTTAGTAGATATGGGGATTCACCATGTTGGTCAGGCTGGTCTTGAACTCCTAACCTCAGGTGATCCATCTGCCTCCGCCTCCCAAAGCGCTAGGATTACAGGTGTGAGCCACTGTGCCAGCCTAAAAAACAGTTTTTAATCAAAAGAAACTCAGGTGAGGGGAGAAAATGGAGGTGATGTCTGCTTTAAGTCAAGATGGAAAAATGGGGGCCAAATTTGCCCTTCCATCTGAAACAACCAAAACACCAGAGAGAAGGAACAATGGTTTTCAAGACACTGGACATTAAGACAGTGAAAGCCAGTGACCCCTGAGGAATGGAATACAAACAAGAAAAGTCCTACACGTGCCCCAGGTAACTGCCTTGAGAGTCTCTCCAGGAGCATAGTTCAGGGGTGGGGCCAGGGGACCAAGAGAAAGCCCAGGAGACTCCCAGAAGTCACAGGGTAGAATACAGCAGACATGGATGCATGCACTGCAAGAGAACACCAGACGCCTACAGAGGGTCCTCCCAACTATTCGGCATATGTTTGTGAGGTAAGGGGAAAAAAAGCATCCATAAGGATTACAGAGATTAGTGCCTGTTCTCACCAGGAAGACTGAAAAAGAATCCTCATAATTCACACAGCATTGAATACAACAACAGTCCCCAACCTTTGTGGCACCAGGGACCAGGGTAAGGAGACTTGTACCAGTCTGTAGCCAGGGGGCTGGGAAACCCCAGAGTAGAATTCTCAGTAGCAGGGAATAACTAGCCACAGGCCAAGCATGGCTCTAGACCCACCTAACAAATCAGAAAAGCAAGACCTCAAAGGATCCAACTATTTCCAAGTAACTAAACTGCATCCTGGAACGAAGTTCAAGAATACTTACAGGAATACAAAAATACCCAGCATCCAACAAGGTAAAATTCACAATGTCTGGCATCTAATTAAAGATTATCAGGCATGCAAAGAAAGAGAAAAATAATATGACCCATAATCAGGGGAATAATAAAACAGACCGAGAGTTGACATGGATACTATAACAAATAGAGAAGAACATTAAAACAGTCATTGTAACTCTATTACAAATGTTCAAACTCTATTACAAATGTACAATCTGGGCATAAAAAAGCCGTAGCAAACTTTAGAGATGAAAACTCCATCTGAAATGAAAACTACACTGGATAAAATCAACAGCTAATTAACTAGACACTGCAGAAGGAAAGACTAATGAACTTGAAAATGCAGTAATAGACACTATCGAAAATCAAAATAAAAAAACGTTTAAATATATAAAAAAATCAGTGAGTTGTGGGACAACTTCAAGCAGTCTACAATATGCATGCAATTACAATATCTGAAAAGCGGAGAAGCAGAAAAAAAAATTTTTGAGACAGAGTCTCGCTTTGTCACCTAGGCAGGAGTGCAGTGGCACAATCTGGGCTCACTATAACCTCCACCTCCCAGGTTCAAGTGATTCTTCTGCCTCAGCCTCGTGAATAGCTGGGACTACAGCACATGCCACCATGTCCAGCTAAAGTTTTTTGTATTTTCAGTAGAGACAAGGTTTCACCATGTTGGCCAGGATAGTCTCAATCTCCTGACCTCATGATCCACCCGCCTCAGCCTCCCAAAGTGCTCGGATTACAGGCATGAGCCACTGCACCCAGCCGAAAAAAAAAAAAAAATTTAAATAACGATTTCCCAAGCTTAATGAAAACTGAAATCCACAGATCCAAGCAGTTCAACCAGCCCCAAGTACAAGAACATACAGAAAATAATCCCTAAGCACATAATAGTAAAATTGCTCGAAATAAAGAGAAACTCTTTAAAGCAGCCAATAAAGACACGTTGTATCTAGAGAAACAAAAATGACAGCAGAAACAATGCAAATGGGAGAGCAAAATCTTTAATGTACTGAAAGAAAACTACCAACCTATAATTCTAAACCCAGCAAACACATTTTTTAAAAAAGAAAGTAAACTAAGATGTTTTCAGACATAAAATAGCTGAAAGGATTCATCACTGGCAGACCAGCATGGTAAGAAACATTAAAGGAAGTGCTTCAGGCAGAAGGAAATGGTATCAGATGGAAATCTGGACCTACACAAAGGAATGAAGAGCACTAGAAAGAGTAACTTCTAGTAAAGACTTTTTAAATTATTATTTAACAGATAACTCACTTTTCAAGCAAAATATATAGTAAGGTATTGTGGTATTTATAATGTATGCAATGTGTTCTGCATGAACTGATTGTGAAGGCATTTCAAAGCAAAAGATTTCAAAAATTGTTATGCAAGAACAGTATATACTTTTACAGGGTAACCACATTGAGTTAACACTGAGTCACACGCCTCAACTCTGGTTTCTGTGGACCGGTTTCTTTGTTTCTTGGTTTTAAGCTCATTTGTTGGTATCACATGCAAATTCCTTATGTCGGCCTACGTGACCCACTCCCCATGACCTGGTCAGTGCCTTACTCTCCAATTCCATCTCCTCCCACTCTGCCACTCAATCACTGCTTCTCAGCCACAAAGAGCTTCAATTACTCCTTAGGAAATGCCAAG